AACACCTCTGGGAACTCCATCAAGACTGTTGGAAAACCATTTCAGGTGACTACTTCTTGAAGCTCATCAAGAGAATGCCAAGAGTGTGTAAAGCAGTAATCAGAGCAAAGGGCGGCTATTTAGAAGAAGATAGAATATAAAACATGTTTTCAGTTATTTCACCATTGTTGATTAAATACAAAACTCCACATGTATTCATAGTTTTGATGCCTTCAGTGAGAATCTACCAATGTAAACAGTCATGAAAATAAAGTCAACACAGTGAATGAGGTGTGTCCAAACTCATGGCCTGTACTGTATGTACATACATGATGGTGTGCCAAGCTTAATCCATACATCAGATATTGGTGGAAATGTTGATATCAAACATCTCTAATTTCAAGCCTTTTTGAAAAACTCCTCCGAGTTCAATTACAAGTTGAGGTCAAAAGTCCACTTGGACGATGTCCAGTGTGTATAACATTGTAAAGAAATCTGTTAAATGTCACTGCTCCTCAGTGTGCTGCCCTATTCTATCAATGTAGGCTACATGTCCTGTGATTGTACACTGTGATAGGGTCAAGAGGGTCAACACATCACATTATTGATTAGTAGGAAGATTAGTAGCCTTGCCTCTGTCTGTGCGCCCCAGGGCAGCTGTGGCAACATTGTAGCTCATCACCACCAGGGTGTGAATGTGTGTGTGAATGGTTGAATGATACACTGTAGTGTAAAGCGCTTTGGAGTCCTTACTCTGAGAGGCGCTATACAAGTGCGGACCATTTATCATTTATCATTTAAAGTTGTGTAGAGAGTGGGAAGCTGATGGTATTGGCACTGACATTTCAGAAATTTAGACATCACATATTTCTTTTCACCCTATGTTGGGAGGACCACGCCAAAACATCCAAAACAGTAAAAAAAAACATTCATAAGAAAAGAAATGCTGAAAGAATTATTATAGGCAAAAGCTGCCGTTCCCACAGACTGGAGATCAGTGTTGATCTTACGTACAACTTACCTGAGAAAATGTCAAACCATTACTATAAATCTCCCCTTAAGGTTTTGAACAAAGATGGTGTCTGTGAACATTTAGCGATTGGTTCTGATTCCTCCTCCTGGTAATTCCAGACTTTTATTCCATTCCACGATGGATAGTGAGAGGATGTTTTTTTCCTGCAAACACCATGAATGATAAGAGAAACATTACAGCATGAGGTGATAGGAGCACAAACACAGAGATTTATTCATCAGATTAGTGCAAAAGATGGACAGATTTACATTTTTTTAACTTATAGAAAAAAAAACTACTGACAATATCATTTGTTACCGATTAAATGGGGTGGGTGTGTGTGTGTGTGGGGGGGGGGGGGCGCAGACACACTCCTGAATGATGCAGCTGCTCCGGTCATCTGTGGCCTGTTTATTGGGTGACTCCCTCTTCTTATCTCTGCACATTTGCAGGTGCTCTGTCGGAGGCAGACCTCACTGTCTTCTAATCTGACACAAAGGGAGACTCAAGAGCCGGAGCTCATAGGGATGCATCTTTTCCCACAAATGCCCAAATGGTTCATATAAAATAATATGTCTAGTTTCACTCTGCTCACTTAAAATGGAGCTTCCCCCTTAAAAAACACCTTTTAATCAATTATAGATAGGGGCACATGTCTTGATGATTTGACTTTAGGAAGCAAGCTGAAATTACAGATGAATATGAATAAGTTGGAGTTTTATTCCACTAAAATCTAAACCAGCGTGCTTTTAAATCATCAGATGTAAACAGAGTAAGTACCTGCAGTAATTAAAGAATATCACGCTAATATTAAATTACTCTCCTCTCTCTCTTTCCAAGAGAGACAGAGGGAGAGAAAAACAGCACGGCTCTCTTTTTGAACCAAGCAAAAATGATTTAACAAAAATGAGAGAATGTGCTCCTTGCCTCCACAGTGAATCGTGCACAGAAAGCACCTGGGTAGAGGAGTGCATGAAGCTTTTCTTAATCTTTCTTTCTCTCAATTCTCTGACTCTGACAACTTTTAACTGAATTGTCTTTTCAGGCCTTTGCAGACCCACTGAGTCCTGTGACATCTCCACTCCCCTCAGCCTTAGTGCTGCTGCCTTCAGCCAATATACCATGAAAGGAACCCAGACAGTCCAATAATATGACCCATAGCTGCCTCAATTGAACATGGTCGAGGATTCTGGGCCCAGGCTTTACACAAATAACCAGCTGGCTATCTGCAGAGGGTTGTTGGCTGCCTGCTACCCCTCGATAAGACCCATCACCCAGGGAAAGAGTGGACAGGTCCATCTGGCAGCATTTCATAGTAAAGAGTGCCCCCTGGTGTCCCTTGGAGAGAAGCACACGTCACACAGGGCAAAAATAAATCAGCATCTCCGATGAGTCCGGTTACTGCTGTGTTTCCCTTTTTTAAATTCATGCAGAGAAAGCGCTTCAGGTTTTTTTCTGCTCTGAACATACATCCTCGTGTCAGTCACGGTTATCTTTCTGCTGCAGGCCACTGCAGAGGGAATATTTATTTCCTCTGATACTTTACAACAATAAAAGCTCGATTTGTCAGTGTTAGGAGTGTGCTGTGTGTCTGTGCAGATAGGACAAGGCCTTTTTAATGTCACAGTTAGTTCAAATCAAATCAGTGCTCTTGTACATCAGACCAATCAGGTGAGAGTTACTGTTTTAGCCTCTGAATGTAAATGGGTAAATAAAAACTAGATTTAAACAAAGAACAGACCCAAATGGGTCTGTAAGGAGAAAAAAGCTGACTGGTAAATAATAGCTGATGAAACTAAGTAAAATATGTTGTCAACACTTAAAAAACAGCCAAAATATTGAACACAACAAAGCAATTTTACAGTCCTTTAAACTGCGTTGATATTTAGCAACAGAGTGGTGGATCTGAAAATTCTGTTTCTGTGTGAGATGAGACAAAGCCGGAGCAGTAGACCTGACTTTTCTTTTGTGTGTGTGTGAAGGCAGATGCCCATTTCTTAGTGGGGATGTGTTGTATTTTTATTTTTGTAAGAGTGTGACAAATTGAGGCCCTCGGCTCTGTGTTACCGGGGAAGCAACACCGTCTGACTTGCATTATTCATGAGGAGTGGAAATGTCGAGCTGCGATACGGTGTCGACGGGCTAGTCAGAATGTCAAGCCGTTGGAGAGCGGGGCATCTCCTCATCTGAACTCACACGGATAAACAAGAAGCGACTGCATCACAACACCAGCTGAGATAATGCCAACAGTGCTGATAAAGCAGAGCTGGAGAGCGTTATGATTAGACTACTCTAAAATAAAAGACAGCATGTATTGATGGTTATCAGTTTGATCAATTAAAGTGAATTAATCAAAGTTGGAGTACAACATTTGGGTCTGAGTCTGGCGTTTCATGTCATAGTTAAAGAAACACCCTATAGTGGGAAAAACGCACCGTAGCTTACATAATAGTCAACACTGCATAAAAAATATGATCATTAAGTTTTATGCTAACCCATTACTCAGGCAGTGACATATATTTAACAAACTGATATTTGTTTGTTGTTTTAAACTTAAAATGCAGGGGGAAAATGTCTCAATGAGACAATAACTGGGATGTGTCTCTGGATCGCTGACTAGTTATTGAATAAGGCCAGTGGTGCCCTAAGGGGTGGCCAAGACCCTCATGGAAATTTGCTGCCCACCCCTACATATATTTACCTTTTTTAATCAAGTTTAATAGAAATCCTCAAACAAATATATGCTATTTAAAAATAACACACTTCAAACTGGAAAAATGAGAATAAGGAGCAAAAGTCCATTTATTTCAGTAATCCAGTTTAGACTGAGAGACTATCTAAAGGCTCAGGAACTCTTTGCAGGTGTTCTGGATTTATTAGCCGATTATAGTGTGACACTTTTGAGTCTAGAATATTAAACCGTTCACAATATTCTAATTATCTGAGATTTTGAATGTGGGGTTTTCATCAGCCATAATCATCACTTATTACAAATAAAGACTTGGAGTATGTGGATTTGCATGTAATGAGTCAATCATATATTAGCTTCAATTAAAATACTTCTTTTTTTTACCGTGTCCTGTCTGGCTGTGAAGTAAGCAGAATTGATGTCTGAATGCTGGTAACAAGCCTTACAGATTTAGGCCTAGTCCACACGTAGCCGGGGTTTTTAAAAAGATCCGTTTTCGTGTGGATGACAGGCCAAAACGTAGAAAAATATCTCCGTTTTGGCAGATTCCCGGCTACGTGTGGACAGGGCCCAACTCTCAGGTGGAGCATCAAAGCGTCTGCTTTTAATGTCACGCCTGATACTTAAAACTTTATTGTTATTGTTTTTGAATGCTTTGTAATTCCGACCAGACACGGAGACAGAGGTGAAAGAGAAAGGAAAAGAAAAGGTGGGGAGGGGGGGGGTCCACAAAAAAAAAACAATAATGAACAACAGTCTGCTTCTAGACCTGCAGAAAAAGACAAAAAAAAGCAAAAGGGCAAAAAAAAGGGACACAACAATACAAGATCAAGCTATCACTGCGTCAACTTGATGAAGAAATATATAATCAATATTGCTTAACTTCAGTTCAATTAAAATACTGAAGTAAATGAACTTTTGCACCATGTTCTAATTTGTCATGTTTCACCTGTATAAATGTCATGTTTTTGTGGATTATTTGAAAACAGCAATAAGCAACTTAAGCAGTTCAAAAATGCTAAAAACAATGAATTCTGAAATAACAGGGTTTTTTATTTGAGGTAAATGTCTTCGAGGCTAAATACTCCGTTACCACAGTGACCAATTTCATGAGCCACCCTAAAGTGCCCACTGCCCCCATTTAACACCCCCACCCATGAAAATGAACATGGCTCCACTGTGGATGGCATAATTTTTATTATAGCTTTCACAGAGCAGCTATTGAATTTTATTAAGAACTAAAACAAAATTAAAAATGAGAATTGGGAGCCTTCGCAGCTCAGGACGGGCTGAACAAAGCAAGTAAATGAAAGCAAGAAGCGATTTTAATATCTCAGCTTTTATTCATTCTGACACCCTGTGGCCAGATAGAAAAGTATGAATGTTACAGTCTGTAAGATGAGTTATTCCAACATTTCTTAAGGGAGGGGGCACAAAAAGTAAACATGAAGAAATGCGTTTAAACCTTGGTCTTTATGCAGTATTTATTGATTCCCAGCTTCATATAAACTGGATGTTGAGGCATAAACATTTTACATTTGAACAAAAATATAACCAATATTTACAATTATTGTATTAAAAATACAAAAAAACAACTGATACATACTCCACCAATTGTCTTTTTAAAAGACATACAGGTTAAAGTAGTACAAGAAAGAATGAAGGAAAGGTCATCACCAGCTAAATGTACAGATCTCACTGACGTCACACCAAACGGAGTAGCAGCTCTACCTACTACACTTATCTTTACGCTTGTACGTTACTGTGCAACTTTTTGTTTCTCCAAATAAGACTCCACCTGCTAATTATGCACATTATCTTCAGAGTTAAATGAAAGTGAATGATGCATGTCACCACTGTATTAACAAATTATTAACAATCTAGCTTCAGCCATAACAAAAAAATCATTAGTGTGTAGTCACAGAACACAGTGGAAAACACTGCAGTCGTTCATTTTTTTTACTCAGTCTGTGGTTTCCAAAACTGATCAATGTGATCAGCGTGAAGGAGTGATAAAGGAAAATCTGTTTTTAGGTTGTGATTGGCAGCGTATAAAAAAATAAGAAAGAAAAAGTACTTCATATGTCAACTTCTCCACCGGAGTCAAAAATCCAAATCTTCAGTCAACGCCAGATATGCTGGAAAACTGGATGCAGGTGTTTGAGTGGGACGACACCCAGAGAGCTGATGTTTGGAACAAGATGAGACGAGTTTCTGATGATGAATCCAAGAGCTCAGCAGCAGGGTCCAATAAGGAGTTCAGTCTGAACCTGATGATGCTGTCTGGAGCCACGAAAACAAAACCAACAAACACCTGACCTCAATAAAATCTAATCAAAAGAAGGAAAGGGGAAGTATCCCAAATAAGGCATTTCATCCCAGCGTGATTTGAAACGGGATGATTTAGTTTGTGGACGACCACGTAAAAACATTTATGACATCTTAAGGCTCTCAGACATTCACAAGATCAGGTTGTGAGAAATTTTTTTTTAGAGTCAATTCTTAATTAGAGCTTGCTGCAAGAGCTGAAATTCTTCTGAATGTGCTGACGTTCACCGCCCCAGCTCAACTGGGGTCTCACACCAAAACCAACGGGCAGAGCTCTCACTTGGTGCCCACAGTCTGAACTCTGATTTCTGTGTGTTTCTGACTCACCGACAGGGATGGATAGAAATTCATATCCTTTTCACCAACATGTGCTTTTTTAAAGTCATCTAGGGGTCAAAACAGTGCTCGTCTTGGTGCAACAAAAAGAAAGAAGATAAAAAAAAGGGAAGTAAAGATGGAACCAGACAAAGATATGCTCATATTTTTACCCTGCTATTTAAGCCAAATATCCAGTAACCTCTAAAATTGTGCTGAAAGTGCTTTTCATTAGAATTAAACCCTTTGAATGTCTGTACTGATATATAAAATGTGTGCAGGCAACAGGGATGTCAGTACACTGCATGTTGCGTCTCCACACGTGAGATAATACTGGTTTTAAAAGTTCAAACACTCAACAACAGATGGGTTGTTTCAGTCCAGGCAAAGAAATCATGAGCTGACTTGGTTTCTCATTGCTGCCCCCAGAGTGCAATCGTTTAAAAGACAACAAAACAAAGACAATGACAGGGAACTAAACCTTGTGGGAAGTTGAAAATGATTCGAGTCGGCCGTTTCTCTCTGCCTTCAACAACAGTCATGTTGGTTTGAACTGCTCCGTCTTTGAAGAAAGTAGAAAACGAGAAAGTGCGGATGAAGCTTCTGTTAATGGGTGGGTTTGGGGGGGAGGGGCTTTGTCACTGATGAGGAGGTGGGGTGGGGAGCAGTCTTCAGGAATCCATCCCATTTCTAACGACAGTCTGGACCTGGGTGTGTGTGGCTTGGTCCAGCCCCTCTTAGTTTATGTTTCTGGAGTTTTTCATTTGATTCAACTAGTCCAAAGCGCCAGACATGTCTGTCATCGTCTTTGACCTCTCCACCTCTTCTTCACAGTATATTTTAGCATGCAGGGTCACCAAACCCCCCATGATGCTTTAAGGCAGGGGAGGGAGACGAGCAGAAGAATCCACCAGTGAGGAGCAGAGTGGGGAGCCGAGTGGAGAGGACAGGCACATTCGTAACCAATGAGTCCGTCTCTTTAATTCTGCCCACCCTGGACCCTATAGGGGGTAGGAAGATGACGGGGGGCTTCAAGTCACTGCAAAACCTAGTCCTCTGTAGTCCCTCAAACCGCTGACACCTGTTCATCATCTGTGGAACGACAGAAACAGACAAACTGATCAGGATCAGGAGACCAGACTGACTTACTGGATTGAATCAGAAGAGATCAGCTGCAGCAACTTGATTTAGGTCACGAGGATGTCCTTTACAACTCCTAAAACCCAATTTACTTACTTCTGCCATCAAATCTATTCCACTAATGGTCAGATTTATTTGTTTCCCTGTGGTGCCCACCATTGTGGTAGCCTATTTTATTCTGAACAAAGGCTACTGGGTTTCTTTCATTTATGGGTTTGAGTAGGAAATGGAATGACGAATTCTGAGGAGGGGCATTTGCTCGCAGCCAAAGAATAATTTGTTAAATTTCATTGATATTTAGTCCAAACGAGCTGATCAGAGTACCCCCTTAACATAAACAATGCAATTCAACGATTTCACTTAAATTTGGAACATTTCACCTGCTGCGGCCCGAACGCACATTCCCTCTGCTCCACGTAAACCTGAACTGGTCACCTGCAGCTCGTGCGTTATCAAATGTCTCCACAGAGCTTGATGAGGAGGTTATGAGGTTCTGGATTTTTGCCTCAGACAGACTTGTGGCTGTTTAAATATTTCTGCTGGAGGAATCCACGCTCCGCTGACACACTCGAAGCAGGTGCTGAATAACGAGTGCTGCTTAAGACAACAGGAAACCTTTCACCAAATGAAATAACCCGAAGTCTTCCAGACTCTCTGAAAGATGGAGGGGTTTCCATTCAACATCGCGCTGCTGTGCACGATGTCGACTGCGTCACAGCCGCTCTCCGAGCCCCGACTCAGCTCGCCGCTTGCACGGCCACTGTCAGCAGTGAGGAGCAGAGGAGATGAGAAAAGGCTCAGATGCGCAAATGGAGATCTTTTCTTGTTACCTCTGCGATGTTCTCTGTGCGTAACGTGTCAAATATTTGTCATTAACAAACTCGCGGGCAAATAAATAAATCAACAAATCGCCTCCTGTAAAAACACAACCGTAACGTCTCAGCCTATCGCCGATGGTTGATTCATTCGTCCCATCGCCCAACCCCATTGACCAATACCAGTCCTGCTACACCATTACTGTTTCTCCAGAGCTACCATTTGCTGCTGGAGATTGTCAAGTATGGGAACACTCTGATGAATATCGGTGCATCCCTACCTATTAAACATGTTCATATTTAAGATACAGATTCATACAACCCAGAAGGGACTTCAAGTGAGTCACACAAGTGCTGGAAGAGAGGTGCAGATTTTTGGTGCTGAATTTGATCATTTGGATGACAAGAACAAGATGGTGCCCTCTAACTGGTGCTTGTTGATCCACAGTGGGAAGGTGAAGGAGAACATGTCATTATAGTGATGTAACTCATGCGTGATTTTGAGAGTTGGAACACAGATCATGGAAGGATTATATTTTAGAATGAGACAGACCCAGTTTGTGCTGAAGGGGGGTGTGTGAAGGTCAAATTTAGTTCTAGTTTGTGTCCCAGGTCACATGCAGGTTCTTTTGGAGAGAAGGGGGCAACCTAAAGATTGAGTTTTTACCTGCCTTAAGGGGGACAGCGGACCTGCATGTTAACCCCACACACTCTCATGGTCGAGGAGTCTCAGGTGAATGCTGAGTCACTGGTTTCCTCAGAGCCACTAGTTTGGAACACAAGGACTCACCGTCCTCTTCTTCCTCCTCTTGATCCTCAGTGGGTGAGCAGGTGCGGTGGAGGCCCCCCACCCAGTGTTTGGTCCCCTGATGGGCCTGGTGGGAGTCGGGGGACTGAGTGACCATGCGCGAGCGCTGCAGAGCCGTGGTGTAGTCCGGCGGCCGGCGGTTTGAGTGGGTTGCAGTGGTTGAAGGAGCAGATGTTGCTGGGTGCTGCCCATCTGTCATGTCAGAGATGGTCAGGGCAGTGTAGCCGGGTGGAGTGGGTGGAGGCTCACGAAAACGTCCCTCCTTTCGGGCTAAATAAATACAAAGAAGTAGCATGTTCACAGCCTTAGGTGTATTTTATTAGTCATGAGCTACAACACATCATTATACTAAATATGTATGGAGAAGTCATGCTTAACCATGCATTCAACACACCGTCAACTTGACCCACAGGGCTCTAACATCAGTCACTCACAAACAAAGCTTTTACCCCCAGCAGTGATGGGTGACGGAGACGGCCGCCCAAGCTGCTTGGCCTCCTCGGACCCGGTGGAAGTGATGCTACTCGTCTCTGGGTCGGCGTTCACATCCTTTCCTCCTCTTCTCTTAATTGTGCCAGTATCTCCCTCTGAGTCCTCCCCCCAGTATGCTGCCGAGGATGAGGAGGAGCTGGCAGACGCCCAGCTCCCCCGAGCCTGCGCTGCCCACAAAGCAGCAGGACCTCCTAATAAGGCCTCGTGTCCTGACGGGAGTCCTCCGCCTCCACTGCCAAAAGCCAAAGTCTCCCAGCTACGTCCCTGCTGCATGGTCTGGATGTTGTCATGGGAACCAGAAGAGCAGGATGTCCAGGAGCCACGGCCGCTATCAGCAGCATCTAGGGATACTCGATCCCCCTGATCTTGTGTCAGTTCCTCTGAACTGGGAGAGGACAGTACTGTGTGGCAGCCAGCGTATATGCCCCGACAGTCCTGCATGGATGAATAGGACCTGAGACAAAAAATAAATAAATAAAAATTACATCACTTTTATTTAGAAATAAAATACAAACTTTAAACTCAATTTCCTTGTTCCCCTACCCCAGACTGTACTGGTCGGGGTCAGTTGTGGCTCTTCTTTCCAGCCGAGGTCCCCCCAAGTGGGATTCACAAACTCCCCCAGAGTGCCGGAGCCTCCTCTCCTCCTGAGCCATGTCAAAGGAGGAGTTACTGAGAATGGAGCGGGACGACATCTCACTGTGACCAGAGTCTGAGTAGGCATCCCCCGTCCGGCTGTAGCCTAGAGACAACAAGACAAGGTCTCTAAGACTGAGTTCAGGCAGGAATTACCAAAACGTTATGACACAAAACGATAATAATATAATTTCTATTGTACTATAAAAGAATAAAAACCCACAATCAGCAACATGGGAGGTGATTAAATATATCTGTGGCTTAATGAGAGAATGAATAACTTGCAACATGTTTTCTTAATTTTTAAAAACAAATGTCCGTTTTTAGAGAGAGAAGGTAGTGTTGCAGACAAAAAAGAACAAGGATCACAAGCATTCATTCAGTCTGGATTAGGGCTGGGCAAAAAAACAAAAATGTATCATTATCGAAATTTTTGACTCTTATCAAGAAAATTTTTCCCATGTCAATAAATTTGATAGTAAAAAAAAAAGAAAAGATGTGTGTGGTTTGACAACATTCATGTCCCTTTTAGAAGCGGTACCACCTTGAGTCACCACAAAATGTGTCTCAGCGTAATATATGTGACAGCCCCATCTAGTGGACACGTTTTGTTTCTGCGCATACGCGTAGTTATCGTCCATTTATCACTATCGAGGAGAAATCCTCAATATATCGTGATATTGATTTTAGGCCATATTGTCCAGCCCTAGTCTGGATACTCCCAGAACATCCTGGAAGGTGAGTGGTGCGCCATCATTCTTCTTTGTTGTTTTAAAAGGCAAAGACATGGGCAGTAACTCAGGCTAGTGATAGCAGGAGCTAAAGGAAGCGGTAGCTCTAGCCCAGCCTAGCGTTGTTCTGCGGTTTGCATTACAGGCACCAAAGTTTAAATGTTGTCGATGTTGAAGTGAGTTGGGATATTAACAAAGACAAGATAAATATGGTTTTAAATTCTAGAAGTGCTTTAAATAATGTAAGAATATGAAAGCTAGACTAATTTAGACATGTGAAATCAACAAAACCTTATATCAAAAGAGGCAGAACTGCAGTGGTGTAGCAAGTTTGAGCTGGGCCCTGGTGCAAGTGTTACTTTAGACCCCGAACCCCCTCGCTGCTCTGCAGCTGCGCGCACTAAAAATTCATCCCTAAACAAGTTCTCCCAACAGGATCACTAACAAGCCCGGATGCACTCGAGTTACATTTCATTAGCGAACACAGAAGATACCATGAACGTGTCTGAGTTGAGATGCGTCTTCATCTCCATTGTTATTTGGCTGGCTGGTCGGCTGACAGACGCACACACACACACACTCTCTCTCTCTCTCTCTCTCCCGGGCCTACGAGGCCCATGGGCCCCGGTGCGCCGCACCAGTTGCACCCGTTAAAAGACGGCTAAAAAAATTCTGACTGAAACAGCAGTTTTCTACAACATTATGGTGTTCAACAACGCTGAAGAGGATGGAAAAAATCTGACAAGGAAAGTATGAAGTAATCACTGGTGCAGACACACATTAGTAGATATTTTCTAGCTATAGCATGCTGTCATTATGACATTTTTTTAAGTTAATGACACAGTAGTCAAGTTTCCTGACTGTTATCAATATAAACAAACCAAATAACCCCCTCTGTAAATCCAGATGAACTGTGTAAGGAAGTCTTTACCACAGACATACAAAGAGGGAAGCAGGAGGCAGACAGGAGAGGGGAGGGGGCTGGGGGGCAGCTGTAATATGTCAGAACTGGGTGACCTGAACATTAACAAGTCCCAGATGGGCATTTATTATCTTTTCTGTGAAGTGAGTTTATGCTAAGAGGACAACAGAAGCTCTTTGTGGAGAAATCTTGACAAATAGCCACGTTTACATGCGCCAAATTTCCCCAATCCGATTCAAATCTTGGTTGACTGGGAATCCCGAATCTCTGTTTACATGGACACTAACTAAAATGATCCGATCATGCTGTGAGTTTATATGCACCAAGATTAAACAGGTTGCGCTTGTGCAAGTTTTCTTTCCCGGAAAAAAATGTAAACAAACGTCATGAAACAAAATGAAAAATGTAAAAACAGGAAAAACAATTCTTCCTGCTTTCTTGATTAATTTAATCCATTTGATACTTTTATTTTCTTCATAGAAGATACATTTTCTTCAGTGAATAACTGCAGATTTATGCGTAGCTGGGTTTTATTGCTGACAATATTAAAATAAGGGAGGGTTTTCCTTGTCTCTGCTCTTAATCAGCTGGTCCGCGGGTCTGATGTGACGGCTGGGCGCTGCGCAGCTCTGCGGTTCAGACTCGTGTTATTACTGAGCTCTGTTGTGGTTTATTATTAATAAAATGTGACAATCAGCTGAAACTGTTGAGAAAAATTGGTTCAAACTAAATAACAGGAGATGTTCAGAAAGTTTGGAAGCCTGTGTTCATCACGTGTTAAAAAAACAAACAGCGTCTCATCTCATCTGTGTTAACGTGCTTTTACAGTTGGCCAGAATATTTAACTGAGGATGTTTTTCTACTCAACATCAGTTTCCTTAAACTCAAACCAGTTCTGTTTAACCGATGTTACCTTGTCTTCTTTACAAGCACGTCTCCATCCACCTGCTGCAGAAACAGCTGCTGCGTTCACAGAAATGGGGATACGTGCTGCAAACCCGAAATGAATCTGCGTGTTTCCAGTACAGACTTGAACACGTTAGTCGAATGATTTGTGCAATAATCAGATTTTTATTTTACTTCCACAAAATACAAATTCTGGATTACATATTACTGAGACGGGGACGGCCTGCCATCATATTTAAAACCCAGCGCTTGTTAGTTAGGCCATCATTTTTTAAGTCAAGCAGTCCAAATGACGACGAGGGGCTCGATTGCTATTGCAAACATGCGCAGTGGGCATTATTTTACTCCAACAATCAGAATGGCTGTGTACATGCACGTATCGGAATGATGATCGGACAAAATCACCTCTCTCAATCGGATTGAAATTTAATTCCGATCGGGCCGAATGGGATCAGAACATTCCGAATGACATGTTTACGTGCAGATTATTCTATCTGATTGGGTGTTCAATCCAATTAATTGTGTGCATGTAAACGTGGCTAATGGCTTTTGGATTAATTGGTCAGCATTTCCAGGGTAGCAGGAGTACCAAGAACTATTTAGGTCTGGAAGGCTGTGTGACCAACATTAGTCCTAAATTACCAGCACAGTAACAGAGAAACGAGACACGGCTCTAAAACAGTGAGTGGTGGCAGCCACCAGGTGGCGTGTGTGGCAGACGGGAGGGTGGGTTATTGGCTTACCCTTCTTGGGGGAGCTCTGTGGGGAGCTGGGAGGGGAAGAGAGCTGGGAAGAGGCATTGGACATCGCATCCTCAGGCTGTCTTCTGTGTCGATCGGTTCCCTCCTCAGACAGAGAGAGGATCTTTTTCAGCGACTGGGGCGAACTGGTGCCTGTGGACATTTTCAGGAAAACATGGATTATGATGAGGAACACAGCCATCGGCTGCAGGCATCAGGCTGCTGTGTCTGGGATTTTCATGTGTTTGCGTGTTGACAGAGGGCCTCTAGGTGGAAGCACGGTTACAGAAATGTCTCAGAGAAGTGCTTCTGTTGGCAAAAAAATACTGACTCAGGAAAAGAAAACAAGGCTAAGGTAACTGAAACAAGGTAAAAAGTACAGATTTAAACAGGCTTATTTTTCAGTCAAAATGAGTTTCCAGCTAAAGAGAAACCATTAGAGGTAAAACGTAAATGTTATAATAAATAAACTATTTATTATTACAGTGCATCAATTTTAACTAAGAAGTCACCTGAAAACATTTACTGTATTTATTTTATGTGGTGTAATTTAAACTCAAACTGCAGGTTGGCAACAGTTTTTAATTGACTTCATTTTGACAGAATGATTATAGAGCTCCGACTGGCCTGAGATTTCTAATTAAATATAGTTATAAAAATATCAAATATCATTTGGCTTTTATAATTGCAATATATCGCATAGTCTCCCCTGGATTGTGATTTATTTCGTATAGACAGATTCTTGCCAACACAACTATATCCATTTCTGCTTACTCTCTGGGGAGACACTGTGAGGAAGACTTTTCCTTCCTTTCATCCATTTTCATCTGCTTTTATGGGGTCGGGTCGCAGGTGCAGCTGCCTATGCAGGGAGGCCCAGACTTCCCTCTCCCCAGCTGCTTGGGCCAGCTCCTCCAGGGGAATCCCAATATGTTCCCTGGCCAGCCGAGAAACTAATGGGCCATTCCCATCTGTACCGGGTCGGCCCGGGCCGGGTAGCCCCAGTCGGCCCCAGCCTGGCCCAGTTGATTCCACACATCCTTGTCTTAAGCCCATGTGGGCTGATTCTACCCACCAATCAGAGGCTTGCTCTAATGGAAATTGTGAATTTGCTGTCAGCAGTGGGTGTGTTGGCCCTGGTCGACCTGAAGCAGACCCCCTCGAGAAGAGGGCTGAGAATGAGCCTTGGTTGGCCCGGAAAAATACCAGGCCACCCAGATATGTAAACAACCTACGCTACCCGGCCCGGGCCGACCCGGTACAGATGGGAATGGCCCAATAGTCCCTCCAGCGTGTCCTGGGTCTTACTTTGGGTCTCCTCCCAGTTGGACGTGCCCAGAAAACCTCAATAAGGAGGCATTCTAACCTAACCAGAGCAGTGAATCTACGCTGAGGTCAACCTGGCTGACCGAGCTTCTCACCCCATCTCTAAGGTAGAGCCCAGTCACCCTGCAAAGAAAACTAATTTTGGTTGCTTGTATCTGCGATTTGAGTCTTTCGGAGCTTGTGACCATAGGTGAGGGTAGGAATGTAGATCGACCGGTAAATCGAGAGCTTCGCCTTCCAGCTCAGCTCTCTTTTCACCACGCCAGACCCATACAACGTCCACATCACAGCACCAATCAATTGTGATCCATCTTTCCCTCTTTTCATCCTACCAAAAGGTGGCAGATCCTTGACAGGAACTCTCTTTCGTGATGGGTAGAGGGCCACAGCGGGAACCTGCAGAGCTTGGTTTCCTTTGGCCAGCTGGCCCCTTTGCTGATTGGCAGCTCTGGACACAACTGGTGATGTATCTGGTCGTTTTCCACCAGCATTCTTGGGCACTGGGTAATGCAAAGAAAAAAAAAGTCAGTGAATTTCAATTTCCAGGTTGCAATTTAAACTTTAGGGTAGAATATGTATTTATTTATTGAAATAAAGTGCTTTTTTAAAGCTGCTATAACTAATCTACAGAACAAGCTAAGTTTTGAAAAGGGTCCTAAAGTTACAGTGGTAGCAGCCGGCTCTTTCTCCTCTGATTTTATTGAGCAGAGAACCTCCAACACCAGTGGTTTTCTGTTACTAAATAATAATGCTATAATGAACGGAGGATCCAGGGAAGTGAGGCAAGACTGACCACTGAATGGTCCAATAGTTGCCTTTGGTCCAAAACATGTTATTGGAGGTTTTTAGACAAATGCGAGAGAACCACTTCTTTTAATTTTCTTCATTTTTTTTTATCCCCACAACATATGCATAGCTACGCTATGTTAAGGCGTTGTTATGAGGCATGAAAACAATATTTTAAGCTAATTTGTTTTATACATTTGCTATAACAGCTTCAAATATTATATCAGGCAGCTGAACTAACAGAGCTTTTTCTAGCATCTGAGTGTGAATCTGAGGAATGTCTGAGTCTTATGAAAAATTTGCAAACAATAAAAGACCAAGAATGGATTGTTTAATCTGTCCCACTCTTACATGTACTGATGGAGGGTTCACACTGTATGGATAGCGTCTGCAGGCTCTCCTCGTTGGTCTCCAGGCTCAGGTTGGACAGGTACTGTTTCACCTTTCTGGCCATCTGGGCATCCTCGTAGAGCTTTTTGGCATTTAGGAAGGAGCTGCGTCGCACCCGCTTCTTGTGCCCGCCTGTCTGGCTGACGTCAAGCACTGCTGCATTGGCACTGCCCTGACTTAGAGAGCTGGTTGTATGCACGAGTGTCCACAACAACAAAATAACAAGGAACAGAGATTTTCAAAGTACAAACAAAACAAAGACAAACAGAGGAGAAAACAGTTAATGGTCTGCTTTGGGGCTTAAATAAATCATTTTCAGAAGTCAAAGTTGTGTTAAACACTAGGGGGCAGCAAACGGAACACAATGTTTAACTCAGACATGCAGAGAGCAACATTAGGTTTTCCTCTCAACTCAAAAACATTCCAGACATTCCAGGCAGTAGGGGGGTGAAGGGAAAGGCTGACAGCTGTAGTTCAACAACAGAAGAGTACACAGGGTGACTAGTGTAGCACAGCTATAGTTTACATTTCTGTGGCTTGAGTCAGAGCGAGTCGTAATTGTAGGAAAAGCTTTTCCTCCTGACCAACGCCAAAAAGCAACCTGAGGTTTTATTACAAAGCCAGGCTTGCTTTTGTCAGTGAACAAATTAAACATGTTTAAAATAACATTTCAAGTTATGACAAATAACTTAGAATCGCTTCTAAACATGGCCTGTTGTCTTTTTAAACAACTCTACTAAACAATCTTATGATATAAGATACAGGGTATAAATTATAAGAAGAGTTTTTATATTTATTTCCAGGTGGCTGCTGGCTGCTTTCTTTTATTTTGCATTAAATATCCATTGTTCACTTGACCACAAGAATGTAAAATAAACAACACACCGTATAAATCTAGAATCTCAGCCGATAAAATATCAACAGGCAGATAAAACCTAAAAGGAAAACTGTTGAAACTGAGGCTGCATGCATGTTTTAAACAGCGCCACAGCACAGGTCACATTGGCTAATGTAAACTCAGCGGTGGTGTTCACTGTGACCTTATGTTAGCACATGTGACCTTTGTTACATTCAGTACCCTGAGGTTAGTGTCAGACAGAGTTAGTGGGAGGAACTCAAACCGGTTAATAAAAAGAAGCAAAGCAGAATGAAAGTTAGCTGACAGAGGAACCATGATGCAGGAAAGGCAGAGACACCAAACTTACCCTAAACTTCTCCACTTCTTCTTCCTAGAGAGCAGTAGCCACGAACAGAGAAGCACGGGGAGGGGGCGGGGTAAAGTAAGTAGAGAGAAGAGACAGAGACAAAGCTTAGGACAGGAAAGACCACCACGATCACCAAAGACAACGTTTCACCAAAGAACCCACATGAAAGTCAAAAGAGGGGAAGTCAAATAGCAACGCTCCACCAAGAAGAGACATTATTATACAGAGAGGCACTTTCACAGACGCTCCGAGCAAATCTTCCACCAACAATATGTAAAAGGAAACAGCTGCTTGAGGAAACAAAGGCCAAAAAGAAACAGACGCCTGAGGGAAAAGCGTGCTGCAGAAATTTAAGTCTAAGTGAACTGGGTGACCCCGCAAAGCTGGTTAGTCAGTGGAGTGCTGACTGGTCCTACAGGGACGGTGATGGATCTAATATCAGTGCTATCATCACAGCATCAATAGTTTCTTTACCTGGTACGGAACATGAGGGAAGGATCCATATTGACTGAAGCCATGCGACCAACGTGACGGATTTCTTTGGCAATCATCCTAAGTTTCTCAAAGTTCACCAGGCCGTCCACTTTAGAGTCATTGCCTGTAAAATTCAGGGAGTACAAATAATTTCAGTTAATAAAAAAATACAAAATAAATAAGAGAACTGAGCAAGCGTGACCTGTAAAAACTACAATCAATAAAATATGTTGAAAGATCAACTACTGAAAAGCAGCTAACTATAACTAAAACTAAAGCTAACTGCCAAGCTAATCACATTAGCTTAGACAAACTAAATGTTTATTTGTTTTAACATCTTTCTGTAGTTTTGTTGTGACTTGAACTTGAATGCATCACCTTTACTTTAGCTAAAGTAGGTAATCTGAATAAACCAGACATGATAGCTTAGCAGTACCTGAATGAAGTACATAACATTTATCATGTAAATGCATCAAATTATAACAAAAATGTAAAAAATCATAGATGAAAAATAATAAATGCTGATTTTTTAAATGCAATTTTTGCTAACTAAATTCTGAATGCTGCAAATTTTAAGTCAGCTTTGGTGTTAGTGGGGTAACCTGATTTGTTTTTGACCAACATTAATCTTAATTAACTATATTTGTAGGTAATATAAATATAATAGTAATCCTTATTTGTTTACTGATAAATCCCTTTGATTAAAGATAAACAAGTTTCAATTTGAAATGCTTTCCTTCCAACATGTTTCCTGTGGCATACCTTCATGTAGGAAGGTGAGATCCTTCTTGATGACTGGGAACAGTGGTATGATTGGTGGCTGGAGGTTCTGATTGTTGAGGACATTTCTGTACTTGGCCATGTTCCTAGAAGGGTCAAACAGGTCCTGCAAGTCCCCAAACAGCTTCTCATACTTGCTAGGTAACTTCTCCCATGTCCCTCTCAGTCTGGAGACTGGAGCCAAGTTCAAGCCGCTGGTAGGAAACAGATGTAACAGAGAAATCATGTGTGTTAATACAAATTGATGATCAACAGAGAGGCATGAATAAAAATATAAAATGGAATAAAGAGATTAAAATTAAAGACAAGAAAAACTGAACAATTGTACTAAACTCCTTGCTTGCGGCCCCACCTGATGATGGCAAACATGGAGTTGAAGTTCTTGCATTCTCGACAGTGCAGAGCGATCTTGATGAAGTGCTTCACAATCTTCATGCGCTTGAGTTGGTTAGATTCTCGCACCACCTCTGTCGCTACCCAAAACGTCTCGTGGTTGATGGACTCCTCGAAGCGCTTGAGGCTGACTGAGCCGGTCTTTGAGTGCAGCTTGAACAGGTCGTCGATGTACTCGGTGGGCTCGATGGCGCAGAAAAGTTCAAAGGCTCTCATGGAGAGCTGGGTGGCCACCTCCACGGTGCTGAGCTGCAACAAAGAGATCTGGCCTTCTCGAAGGAGGTCCTGGGCATCCTCGTCTGAGCACAGCGTCTCTGTCTCCATGTTGCTCTTCAGGTAGTATCTAATGAAGACAGGAGATGATTTCATCATATTATTTAAAAGGTTTTAGCCACTTGTGTTGTCAGTTTCAAAATCAAGGTGTAGAAGAAAGACGATTGAAGGTTTTAATGTCATTACCTGCCACTTAATTGAATTCTGTCAGCTAGTTTAGAGAGCTGATCTGGTAGTCGCCTCTGTTTGATGACGCCCTCTGGTGTGACTGACACCTCACACAAAGAGTAAGCCTCGGCTGCTGCAGTCACAGCAAACTCCCTGATGGCCTGGGCCACCACCTCTTTAGCCGTGGTGTCCTTCCCGATCATGATGTACCGAGACTGCTGGTCCGCCTTGAAGACTCGTAACACTTGGTCGGACATGTCTGAAGAGAGAACATCAAGAGCATGGATACACATTAGTCTATGACCTCTTCCAAGTAAAATGAATGTGGACTGGATCTCAAACAAATGAAGAGCGGTGATTGTTGGGTTTACTTTAAGGTTTAGCAAGCACAAGAGGAATTTATAGACGAAAAGGAGACAAGTGCACCGCCACGTGTGAAATGACCACAAAGTTTTTTTCCCATTATTTGTTCATTGGATCAGAATCACAAATCACCTCCCAGAGAACATGTAGCTTACTGCAGGTCTGCACAAGAGCTGATGAGACTAAGAAGAGACAAACTTTGATTAAGAGAAGCAAACTCATGAGGAGGAAAAGTACTCACTCAGAATGACCGATACTGAAAGGACAAAAACATAAAGGAGAAGGAAATATTTGTGAATTAAACTACATCATTCTGAACTGTTAGTCTGACAACCGAAGGGTTTCTTTTCTATTAAAGCAATTCATGTCAGAGTGACCACCTCCCAAAAACACACAATAAGGGAGGAGGAGTGCAGCTAACTCTAAGAAGAAAGGAAAAAAAGTATCTGAAAGCTTTCTTTTGTCGTTTTGTTGTATTTTTATCAAAACTTGTCACACCTCAGGGATCCAGGTCAACTTGTGAAAAGGCTGACGTTTTTTTAAGCTCAACATCAAATTCCCAATTTTAAGATTTTATAAATGTATAAATGTCACAAATCTTATTTTACGCGGATTAAACACCCACCAGGCTGGTTGTTGAAGTCCAGGATGCGGTGATGCGACTGCAGGAGGTCTGGGTTTGAGGACGACAGGTTTCCACTGACCGGCAGAGCTGGTGGGATCTGTTTGGACTGCTTCATCCCCACTATGCTGTCGTCTTGTGATTGGCCAACGCAAACATCACTACGGAGACAAGGAGGGCAGAGGGATGGGAAAGCAGTTTGGTCAACAACAGGCAGAGGGCAGCATCTGTGTGGGAAAGCTTGGCTGCAAAAATCCTCCCAGAGTAATCCGGAGAAGAAGAATTTGTGTTAAAAAATTCATCATGTACAGCACTGATCTGATCATTGATCAAAGCAACATTTCAACATCAACAGATTATTTTCCACTGTTGGGTTAATTACTTGTATGGTTTGGGAGGCAGGATGCTGGTGAGTGTCTTATCAAAGATCTTTTTTAATTTGTTGCGCCCTCCGACTGTATTGGTCTTGGCCTTCTTGCTGGCTTTCTCCAGACCAATAACCTGCTCCACGTCCACAGCCAGGTCTGGTATGGAGTAGCGGCTGGCCTTCTTAATGTCCCCAATCTTTGGTAAGTGGGGAGCTCCGTTCTTCCTGTCAAGTTCTTCATCCACATCCAAGTCGTGGTCATGTTCTGGCCGTGTTAGCAGCTCTTTAAACACTAAGAGGAAAGGCAAAGTGATGAGCCAAACAAGTGCTAATGCTTTAAAGCTGGGGAAGAACATGATGCTTTACCTAAAAGATTTGTCTTCACAGTTATCGACAAGTGGGTGTTGTTTTTAAGAATCTCGTTGGCTTTACTGAACTGGACGTTTTCAAAATTTTGCCCATTGACCTCCAAGATCTGTAGAAAGAAGAGACGCAATAAATTATTTAGCTGAAATTTAAATGTCTTCACCACAGGGCTGACATGGCACCAGCTAGTGTTGATGTAATATGTGTGAGGGATTGATTAATGACACATTTCACTGCCTCAACTCCTTCAAATTGCCTGAACTTCATCAAAATAAACAAAACCTTGCCTACTCTGCAGTTGATGCACAAAAATGTAACTCCTCCCTCATAATAACTGACACAAAAACCTTCACTTCTACAAAACTACAGGTTTAGTTTGCATTTAGACTATCTTCCAACCAGGCTGCCACTTCTCTTTTTGCTGAAAGAAGAAGTCACCCTTTAACAGTAACATCAGGTCCGGTCTGCTCTTGTGAAGTCCTCAGACACCAGTTTACAAGGAGATCTCTGCTGTCAATATGCCATACCTCCATGACAAACAGCAAATGTTAGCACTGAAGCTCTGAGCTAGTAAGGTTCTGAAAAAGAAGCGACAGTAACTGAAGCAGTAAAACGTGACGTGGAAGGTGAGAGCGGTGTGAGAGGCAAAGCTTCCAAGGAAGTGAGCATCTCTGCTTCCTTTAAGGGAAACAGCTGCAGAGGATGTTTGGAGTCAAGAGGGCTTAACTCACATCCAGACACTCTCAAGATCATTTCAAGGATTAAGAGACTTTGCCTAAAGCCGAAAGCCTGCAGAGTGTGAAAATGGCTGAGAAGTAGCGAGGAGAAAGTCAGCATGGAGTGCTGGCAGCTACCGACGAGCTCAATGTAAAACTTCTCAAAAGGACCCATTAGATCAAACTGCAAAACCAATTCCACAACAAAAAACAGGCTTCAGCTGGATAATACGGTCAATTACGATACATATCACGATACAGGGAAGACGATACGATATACTGTGATACACTAGAAGAAAAGAAAATACACAAATGTTTGCATGTAATTTCTTCCAAAAATTCAATACATGGCTTTTGAATATCTATTGCAGGAAAAAATATAGCAATATATTGCCATATCAATATTTTCTTACATCCCTAGTAGCTGGTGTCAAAACACATGCTTACTGCAAAAATATTACATCAAAGTAATTCTTACCTGATCCCCACGCTTGAGACCAGCTTCTGCTGCTTTGCTTCCTGGCTCCACGGCATCAATGAAGACAGAGAAACCTTTCTCCTGACCTCCAAGGAGGCTGAACGCCAAAGGAGAGTCCCTGGATGGCTTGGTCAGTGTCACCAGCCGTGGCTTGGCTTTAGCAGCACATGCTATATTTAACAGTCTGAGGTGTCCACACATTTTCTGGATAAATAAGTGAAGAAAAACATCAGCTGCAAGCATACTTTGAGAGGAAGTGTTGAACTTCTAATAAGGCATACTACACTTACTTCTTTCTCCAGATTGTTTTCAAATTCCTCCAAAAAGTGAGTCATGGCAGGATCTCCCTCAAAGTCATTGAAGTGATTGTTTACCCACAGCAAGACTACCCGTGTAACCTGCAGAGAGGACAGAATCAGCATGGGTTCTGCGTGTGTGGCTAAAACCATTCTGACTCCAAATGACAGATTCAAGATAAATATCAACCTTGGTCTACATTTGTGTGTGGACTTTCACATGGGCATTTTAATCTGTCAACTTCTCAATGTTTTGATGCTACACTCAGCAGAGGCTGCATACTTTCTTTGTTTTCTCTTGATGACGACAATAAAGACTTTTGACTTTGAAATACCCAGTCTTTGTTGAGAAGGACCAGTCTGACCCCTACTTCACACTGAAGACATCAGCAGCACAGAATGGCTGCAGAACGTCACTGCTTCAAATTAGAATCCATTACAGTCTATGGAGCGTTTCAAACCAGCCGAGACACGGAAATTTTCAGGTGCGTCCCAGAAGCAGCTCGCCACACCTCTAAAGATAGGATCAGGTTATCTTTTTGTCATGAGCCACTTCTGGGACACGACAGTTACCACAGTTAACATAGGGCTAGATAGGAAATAAATCACACACACACGGTTTCAGTGTAAAACCCCTGAAAATTTTTAAAATAGAAAACTATTACAGCGATGTGATCAATACAAGTGACCTAACTGCTTATTTACTCCCAGTATTGTTCCAGAAGTACAACAGTGTGTTTTTCATGGCTTTAATCCTGGCAGTTAAGAGGAACAACATGACATAAAACAGCAACATCAAACGTGATTTCCTTCTTTCTGGTTGAATGGCGGATGGCATAAAATCGGATAATTTTGTGTTATCGCGAGTTAAAGTCTCTTTCGGTACCATCTAGTGGCTGACAAGCATATCACACAAAAGGTCTTTTGCTGTTTTTTTAAGATGGCAACTTCATGTTTCTGTTCATAAATGTGCTTCTGTAGCTGACAAACAGAGCTAAAACATGCAGTTTTACAAGTATTATTCTCATGTCATGTTGCGTTTTCATATATTTATATTTTAAAGACTTTCTTGTCCGTGAAAAGTTCATCAACTCTACATCAGCCTAGGTGGCCCTTAAATTTGAAGCCTCTAAGCGGCAGTCTAACGCTATTGGTTAGCCCTAGTCGGCACTCAGTTTCCTATTGCACGGAGCTCTGCGGGGTAGGGGGCGTGCTTAGCAAAAAAAAAAAAAAAAAAAAAGACGCATTGTTTACATTATATCACAGTACATGATGAGACAATCACTTTTATGGATTTCTGAAAAACCATACATAATTTCTGAAAGTAGAAAACTCTGGAAAGATACTTTAAGGAGGAGGATGACAAGGAGGATGGCAGAAGTCTTGAGGGATTTTGTGATCTCGTGAGTCCAGTCAGGAGCTCTGCAGCTGAGATTCTCCTGCTGTGTACTGGCATGCAGCCACAGTCGCGAGTAAACCGTTATGCTACTGTTGATCCTTCTAGTGTGAAAAAAGGGTTCCCCTACTCTATTGTTCAGTCACGTCTAATTGTGGTTGAAAGTCCGAGTTTGTTGTCAGATTAGATGTTTTCCTGACTTTTATTTAGGTTTGTCTCAAGATTTATAATCCTGACTCCATCACTCATGAAGCGCACAGCCAATAAGAATCTTGCAACTCAAGATATATTAAAAATGTGTGTCTGTACCTTGTCCCTGAGACTGGGGTCGTGAAACCACTCCAGGAGCTTCTTGCCCACGACCATGGGGCTGGAGAGGAAGGTCCTGTAGGTCAACAGGAAGTCCTCTATATAGGTTGGGTCCACCACTGAGTGCTCCTCCACCAGGTGCATGGTGAGACGCTCTGGTGTGCCCTGATGTTCAAAACGATGGTGTTATTATTATTTTGAAAAAGCCTTCCATGCAGGATTATGATGGCTATAAAAGAATGACTGCTGCTTTGTAACCTTGATGACGATGTGTCCTTTCCTGGTGCCAGTGCGGTCTAGTTCACGGTGCTCCTTCACCATAACAATCTCTCCCTCCTCCTCAACCTTCTGCATGTTCTTTTCCACCTGGTTAAGGATGCAGCAGTACTCTTGCTGGGCTATACATACAAACTAAAAAAAAGACAAAGAAATATTCTTAAATCTCAAATTTACAATCTAAAGATTAAATCAGAGATTGATGTTTTTGCTTTGGATCAAACTAAGATTTCATTCAAAATCTATCTGAAAGTGATCTAACTGCTAAATAGAAATGATTTCTGTTTAAACATAAACAACTGTCTCACTGATCAAGTAAAAAAAGAGAACATTTTTACTAAGTCTGAAGAGCTCAATTTTAATCAGAAAACCTGACACATTTCTGTGTGTCAGCCTCCATTGTTGGGTACATTGTTCCTGTTGAACATGTGACAGTGTGACGTTAAAAGTTTGCAAACGGTGGCTGATTCTCTTTCTGTAAGTGGATGCTGCTGCCCCAAGGGACTTTCTGCGTCATGAGTGCAAACACTTTCAGCACAAGTGGGTCACCGCAGGATTTAATAACATAAGATGACGGGACTCCTGCCATGTCTTTCACACCCAAATGCAAAGGAAATGGACCTGTTAACACCATCAGAGTGTAACAGATCAGCCCAAGCCAGGGAAAGTAAGGTTCCCACCTGGCAGTCGTCCACCTTGGTCTTCATGACACCTTTCATGTACTCCTTCTCCATTGTTGGTGACACCCCAAAACTGTTTCCCATACACAGGATCTCTGTCCGGCTGTCGGGGTGTGTCACTTCCACTGAGCCATTCAGGATCACCGACCACGAGTCCAGCTGTAGCACGGACACACAAAGACAGTGGTTAGATGTTTAAAGGAGAAAAAGTGATGTAAATAAAACAAACATTTGAAATGGAGGAACAAAATCAGACATGTAACAGAAATAACGTTCTTCCAGACCATCTTAAATGTTATGTAGTACTGCAAGCCGAGCGTGTCCCTTAATGAATCAAAGTTATTTAACTAAAAGAATTATGTTCAGATGGCTGCACTGACAGATGGTTTCATTCATTAGTGCTACACATCAATAGGAAATATTCACCCACTAAGAATTGTTACAAGTCTGACTCACTTAAACATAATCAGTGACCCCTGAATTACCTTAAAGCTTCCATTTACTGTTGAAGCCAAGCCTGAGAGACAAAGACTACTCTATTGTTAAAGAGCATCACTGTGAAAAGTAAGCAAATTGTCCTGCTTGAAACAGAATGCCATGTCTCGACCTGAGAGAAAAAACAAAACATTAAAGCTTTGGGGGCCTAAGGGATCCTGGAAAGACCCCGCGATAAGTGATGTTGACCATTCAGGTTTAACAGAGCAGAAAAAACATGAAATAAAAGGCAAAGATTTGTTGGTGTGTAGAGGTGAGATGGAGGTCCTGAGAAACGTTTTACACACAGATGTATGCATACTTTTCAAAAGCCATTGGACATGGATTATTTGTGTGAATATTCAACACGCACCTCCTCTCCGTCATTCAGAACGATGGTGCCGGCGCGTTCCACTACTGCAAACACCATGACGGCGCAGAGTTCCCTCCTCACTGACATGGTCATGTTAGCAAATGCTGGCAGTTGATGCATGAACTCCAGTAGTTGCTCTGTAAGATGGACCAAAAGAAGGAAAAGAAACAACACTGAAAATCTTAGAGGGTGGGGTGGGGTGGTGCTCTTGGCAAGTCTGCTCAAATATCTCCCTCAATTCTGCCAAAAATACACAAGCTGGAGGCAGGGAGAGCTTGTAAACAGATCATCACTATCATCATGATGTAGCCAATAAAGGAAATCATTACAGGGAGAAAGTTGAGCCAGATATCTATTTTATTGATAAAAACTTTTTGGTGAGCCAAGAATAATGGCTGACAAATCCCACCCGTGACCTCTGTGTGAGTTTATGGTGCTGCTGAACAAACTGCACCACTGCAGGAAGAGTGCTGTCCAGGCGGATCAAAACAATAAATAAATAAAAATCACAAAATGACAAGCTAGTTCATGTTTGCCAAAGCATACAAGCACTACCAGTGGCCTAGTGGTAGAGTTTCCTCCCTTAGACTTAGGTTTGGAAACGTTCTGGATGTTTTTCAATTTCCTCCACCCCTCAGGTGGAGTGGATTGAGGGGCCAACATGACAACCACAATGAAGCAACACAGTTCCAAAACAGGTTGTAACACCTCATGACTTGAAAACTTGTTTTAACTGATTGCCCTTTGACCTTTTTATGGGCACAGTTGCTGAAATTTCATCATGCATTTGCATGAAAAATACTAATTAATACGTTTTGACATAGGTAATCATGCTCATAGGCCAGTGTGATCATAAAGGTTTAAACAATACTTTTTTTCTTATATTTAAATTTCGTTCAGCTAGATATCTTCTTAGTTTATTTGTAGACAAACTAAATAGAATATATAACAAAGTCTGAGTTATTTCTCAGCACCCTCTGATGATGACGATGCTCGATGAGGAACAACACCCTTTCTACCTCCAGCCTCACCAGCAGCAGTCTAGTGCACCGGCTGACCTGGGCTTGGCATGGCAACAGAAGCGTGTGTGAAGCTGCGGCAGCACTGAAAGTTTAATGCGCTGGGAGAGGTGAGGCGAGAGGATGTGCTGGAGTGACCTAGAAAACCCTGCTGGCAGAGAGGAGGAGGGAGGGTACAGCAAGGGAGATCAGTGAAGGAGGGGGGAGGTGTTGGCTCTGGCTCCTTCTCTCTATGTCCAATGCATCATCCTCACTACATCCACAGCTAAGCCCTAACTGTGTACTTATTTTTTTTAAACATGACTATCATTAGAGTTGGAGTTGAGTCATAGCTTTAGGGGATATGATACGGAAAGCCTGATGTGGCTTTGAGAATTACTCGAAAGCCGACGTTGCAAATGAGAGCAGTGCACACTTTAGTCAGATGTGTTGTGGCTGGTTTTGATTAAAAAAATAAATAAAAAAAATAACAAACAAAAAAACTTAAAAACAAGGAGTGGGACTTAAAAAAAAGAGCTACGTTTAAATCTGAGAAACGTGGTACGTCTCCAGGCTTGAACTATGTTGCTTATGTTGTTAATCTCAAAAAACATCTTGATAATGCTGCATTCCCAAACTGCTGCCAGTGACTTTAAAAGTTTTAAACCAGCAACAGATGGGAGTAAAACTCAAATCTTGGTATTTACCAATATCATCGTCCGTTCTGTCCATGGGGTCTTTCTCCAGACAGTCCCGCACAATGTCCCGGCTCATGAGGGGGTCTGACGCTCGCTCGATGTCCTCCTCATCATCATCCTCTTCAGAGTCGACGGCGGTCTCTGGCAGGCCGCTCAGGTCCATGTCACCTGGCTCGTTTTCTGTGGCCTAAGAAGAATGAACATATAAGTGAGTCTGTGATAAAAATGAGCCCATGGGGAATGTTCCAGCTTCTTCCAGAATCAGCAGCTCAAATTTGACCCACAACAGCTGGGTCGGACACCTGCAAACCCCAGATGATGCTCCAAGTGCCTCTCAGCAACGCAAAGCCAACAGATTAAACCTGAATACCTTCCCCACTTAGTGCTTTGGATTAGAATCATCTGAAATGCTTAGAGAACTAATTTAAGAACAGCCAGTGTAACCTCTTACAGCAGAAACATCCATTGCAACCACATTTTCCACCAAAATGCACAGATTTAACCCGCTTTCAGAAAATACTGAATACAGTACGAGAAAGACAGACATCAACACTGCATATCAAACAGTTTGCTATGCATAGTAACAAGCTAATTAACTGCCAACTTTCTTCTCTTCACTCAGCAAACTCCACAGCCTGCCTCAAAGCCAGATCCTGTTCTTTGAAAGCAAAAGATCAAATACGCGCAAAGCCACGAATATGAACCAAGACATAATGCAATTACTTGTACATGAGAACTACTAACAGGGTTCTTCTGCTACTCTCATCAGGGGAACCCCATATTTGGGGCCATATTTTGCAACTTGCATTATCAAAGAGCAGACCAAAGCAAATAATCACTTCTGCAGTTATGCAACGAGAGAATCTCTTACCACTACACGGTGTCCAAGCTCAAGCTTTTTACCAGAATAAGAAGAAAATGTCACCTTAGTGCACAAAAATCCCAGAGCCAGACGCATCTTCGCCACCCAGACAGCCAGTCTGCTGTAAATGTTTTAATGTAGAGTTCCTGTGCAGACTCTCTCTCAGAAACCTTGTGTCATTTCTCCTCAAATGCCATGTAGAAAAGAATCATTAATGATTCAGTGTCTGACCGGCCATTTGCACTGGTGCACAGACTGATGGGCGGAGCCAGGCGGGGTCTGCAGCGATGATTCTGGAGTTAAAGATTAGGCGCAAAATGTGTTTCAAAAGACCACTGGGGTGACTTATCGAAACAATAAAAGAGAAGTTAAAAAAGGTTTTGTAAACAATGTTACAAATGCTGAATTGAGTTTTACAGGATTATCTAAAAGACGGACTCACAAAATGGATTTTCTACAATTTGGACAAACCAAAAAGCATCCTAAAAATGTGAGATGAGTAATCTGCGGCGCTGAGAGTTAGTTCTAAATGTATCTGAACAGTTAGAGAGTTGGTGCCTTTGTTTCCTTCTGAAAGGTTGTTTTCATGTCATGCATGTATCAAAAATCCATAAATCTGCAGTAAGCATTAGGAGTCAGTGGGTAAGTTAGGTGCTGTTAATATTTCATGAGTGCTATTCTTGGATCAATGCTTTCAAAGGACCAATTTCATGATTTATTCAGACACAAACAGTCCGCCATGCTGACAGTGACGTGTGGATGAAGTGAAACTCTTCACTTCAGCTGAAGGACGTGCTCATCAGAGCAGCAGAACAGCCTTGTTCTTAAACCACTCAATGCTCCCATCAATGCTTTACCAGCCCTGCTCAGCATCTCTTCATCATCACATCAGCAAAAGGATCAAGAAAACAGAATTGTACATGAAACATTTACCAGTGACATGAGGATGAAATCAACCAAACAACTGTAGAACCTCTTCTTCAGATCCTTTCATAAGCAGAAGGCGACAGGTCCAGAGGTAGAATAAAAAGGGGCTTCTACACAGAATGAAGTCTGAATTCTTATTTCTCTCATTGTAATTCTCACTGAACAGGTAATACCGGTAGAAAAAAATATCTAATACTAACAGACGAATTTGGTGAGCGATTTGTGTATTCGGCCACCTTGCTGGGCTGCAATAGCTGCATTGACACACGTAAGTGATTAATTTATCATTAAGGAATTTGGGTGTTGTTTTTGATAAATGAATGTCTCTTGAAGGCCACTCAAAAACATTGGTCCGAAACAGTTTTTATCATTTAAAAAATATCTCCAAACTGCGAAGGTTGGTGTCAAAACATGAACTTGAAATGGTCATCCATGCCTTTATCTCCTCCCGTCTAGATTACTGTAACACACTCTCCACATGTTTTAACAACAAAGCCCTTGACTGCCTTCAGTTGTTCCAGAACTCTGCAGCGAGGCTCTTAACTGGAGCAAACAGAAGAGCACACATCACACCTATTCTAATGTCTCTGCACTGGTTACCCGTTAACTATAACGACCATAACGTTCAATGTTCTACATGGTAAAGCCCCTCCCTATGTTACTGAACTGTTAAAGCCTTCTGCTCCAACCGAGCCCTCAGGTCCACCCACCAGAACCTTCTAGAAGTTCCAAAGACCAGATATAAAAGTCGAGGTGATCGCTCCTTCCAGACTGTGGCACGCCGACTTTGGAATGATCTTCCTTTATCCTTACATAGCATTGACTGTCTGAACACTTTTAAAAATCAGCTAAAGACCCTTTTATTTAAAGCTGCTTTTACATACAGTGGGGCAAAAAAGTATTTAGTCAGCCACCGATTGTGCAAGTTCTCCCACTTAAAATGATAACAGAGGTCAGTAATTTACATCATAGGTACACTTCAACTGTGAGAGACAGAATGTGGAAAAAATCCATGAATTCACATGGCAGGATTTTTAAAGAATTTGTTTGTAAATCAGGGTGGAAAATAAATATTTGGTCAATAACAAAAATTCAACTTTCAAATGCTTCTCATGGAGCCACTCCTTTGTTGCGCGGGTGGTGTGTTTGGGATCATTGTCGTGTTGGAAGACCTAGCCATGTTTCATCTTCAAAGCTCTCACTGATGGAAGGAGGTTTTGGCTCAGAATCTCACGATACATGGCCCCATTCATTCTGTCCTTAACACGGATCAGTCGTCCTGTCCCCTTAGCAGAAAAACAGCCCCAAAGCATGATGTTCCCATCCCCATGCTTCACAGTAGGTATGGTGTTCTTGGGATGCAACTCAGTATTCTTCTTTCTCCAAACACGACTAGTTGAGTTTATACCAAAAAGTTCTACTTTGGTTTCATCTGACCACATGACATTCTCCCAATCCTCTGCTGTATCATCCATGTGCTCTCTGGCAAACTTCAGACGGGCCTGGACATGCACTGGCTTCAGCAGCGGAACACGTCTGGCACTGCAGGATTTGATTCCCTGCCGTTGTAGTGTTACTGATGGTGACCTTTGTTACTGTGGTCCCAGCTCTCTGCAGGTCATTCACCAGGTCCCCCCGTGTGGTTCTGGGGTTCTTGCTCACCATTCTCATGATCATTTCGACCCCACGGGATGAGATCTTGCGTGGAGCCCCAGATCAAGGGAGATTAAGGATCTTGTATGTCTTCCATTTTCTGATAATTGCTCCCACAGTTGATTTTTTCACACCAAGCTGCTTGCCTATTGTAGATTCACTCTTCCCAGTCTGGTGCAGGTCTACATTTATTTTCCTGGTGTCCTTCGAAAGCTCTTTGGTCTTGGCCATAGTGGAGTTTGGGGTCTGACTGTTTGAGGCTGTGGACAGGTGTCTTTTATACAGATAATGAGTTCAAACAGGTGCCATTAATGCAGGTAACGAGTGGAGGACAGAAAAGCTTCTTAAAGAAGACGTTACAGGTCTGAGAGCCAGAGATTTTCCTTGTTTGAAGTGACCAAATACTTATTTTCCACCCTGATTTACAAATAAATTCTTTAAAAATCCTGCCATGTGAATTCATGGATTTTTTTTCACATTCTGTCTCTCACAGTTGAAGTGTACCTATGATGTAAATTACTGACCTCTGTCATCATTTTAAGTGGGAGAACTTGCACAATCGGTGGCTGACTAAATACTTTTTTGCCCCACTGTAAATCTTTTTAACTGTAATCATCTTTCATTTGCTTTATGATATTTTATCATTTGATTACTTTATTTTTTCTGATGTTAATCTATTTCTGTTTTAAGATCATTATGATTTGATGACTGTTTTATTTTGTTTTGATCTATGTGATGCACTTTGCGATTCTATGTCTGTGGTGAGTGCTATATAAATATAAATAAAATGTACTTACTTTATTATTAGGGATGTGTATTGGTAAAATTATGGCGATAAGATACGTTTCACAATACAGGGGAGACGATATGATACATCAAGATATATTGCCTTACATTAAGACAGATATTAGCAATTTTTTTAAGACTAAAATTATTGAGGGGAAAATTCAATTAAAAGTCCAAACTAATATGTAACATGTCTAACATCAGGTATCTGAACCATAATAGAGGGGTTTACATGTCAGTGGTGGAAACAAAACTTATTGCACACTGCAGGCAACTAGCGGTCGGCATTTGATTTGCACCAAAAAAAAATATATACACAAATGTTTGCATGAAAATTCTTCCAAAAATTTGACAAACTGCTTTTGAATAGCAATATAATATTGCAGGAAAATATTTTGCTTATATCGCCATATAGATATTTTCTTATATCCCTATTCATTATGCTTTCATTGCAAAATGACCCTCTACAGTCACCGCATGATAAATTCCGAGATTAAGGACATTAGTCAGTGGCCTCCATTAATGGATGAAGGTATATAAAATAAATACCAATGTTAATTTATGAATAATCATTTTGTCTGAGTGATATACAGGAAAGACTAATAGGGAGATAATAGGCTGTAGCATTAAACAATGCACACACAGTTAGCGCAGCAAGCTGACAATGACATTTAATCATTATGGACAAGCTGTGACATAAAAACACAACACATGATTGTGTTTTGTTTTAGATATTCAAGCATATTTTACTGACCGGCTGGCATGACCGGACTACCAGAAAAACGGCAGCTACAGAATCTCTGATCGAGGGTCAAAATGACCTGAGTTCCGGATGGGTCGGGTAAATTTTACATCGACTTTTAGACGACTAAAACGTTCAGTGGGACATTCACACACCACCCACTATCACCACACTGTAAAAGTGACCATGAGAAGAGAGAGTGACCAGTTTATGTCTCTGCTGTGACTGCATGGCAGGCAGGGGGGCGCTGGTGCTGCTGCAGCCACACCACAGAGCTCTAGTAGGTGAACGAGGCTGTCAAGCAGGGTCCAACAGACAGGTCCTGCATGAATCCACGGTCTCTCACAAAACATTTTCTTCCAAATCTGAAGTTTTCTGCTGTTACTAGAACAGACTATGACTGCACACGCCACCCTGGCCTTCCTTGATCGCAAAAGAAACAACTTCCATGTTTTGCTGGTTATATTCAAATGCCATATTCGTGCACAGTGCCTACAGGTGCCTGACTGGGAGTTTTCATAGCGGTAACGGCGGTGGCTCAACTTCAGGTTATTTTGTCGAATCTGTATAGACTCCCCCAAAATGCAGAAGAAAAATGTCATTGTGCTTACAGAAACAGTTACAACAAACTACATACTAATGCTGCCAAAACCCCTTCAGGACATGAAATCCTGACAGGTTCAGGAAAAGACCAACACTTGTAGGAGGGGGCCTATTAATGTGGAGAGGTCATCGCTGAACCCCACGCCCTGTTGGTTCAAACACAAAACTTGAAACGATAACAAAGCCCTCACTGCAGATTAAAGGCTGGACACTTTGCATTTTAAAATCACACCACTGCTTCTTGGTTGGAGTCAAAAGCATTAAAAAAGCACCTGTGTGGTACCAACACAGGACACCCAGCAGCATTTCCAGGTCAGGATTGTCTGTTCTTTTTCTAAACTATGAATAAAAAAGTATCTAGGGTTTTGTAGATGTATGTAGACAAAATAGAAATATATCACCATTGAGCTCAGCAGTGATTAAAACCTAAAAACAAAGTGAGACAAAAAATTATTTTTTGCACATAAATACTGAGCTAAAACATGAAGGAGCTACAGCTACAACAAGAGGAAGCATTCAGCATTAAAGGAGGGGGAGAGCAAGAACAGGACTGAGTGTGTGATTCTGACAGAAGGAAACGAAGAGGCCGTCATAAAGCAACTAGCAGATGGCAGTAAGACCAGGACCAGACCAGACTGAGGACAGTAGAGCCTGTTTAGCCTACCCCAGCCAGCCAAAGCAAGGCCAAACACACAGTAAACACACCAATCTGTGTGATAGAATACTAGCGCATGTACACGCAAGCACGCACGCACACACACACACACGCGCGTGCGCGCGCACACACACACACACACAATTCCAATAACAGAACTAATGCTGAAAACAGGAGTCAGTAAGAGGTGTGAATATAACAAAGTGATTGTGACTGAACATGGCCCTGAGCAGAGCCACGAGAACGCTAACAAACAAACACACAGAAAGAGGCACGCAGCAGGTGACAGCAGCACCATCCAATGTGGTGGGTGTGCTGCGTTAAGAGGATTAGTTGCAGGGTTTGGGCTAAGTCCACAGTCACGAGATTTCCTGTATGCGTATCCCACTGAGCTGAATTGTGTTCTGGGGGTTTTAATACTCTGATTATTTTTGTCAGTCTTCATTGTTTTTGACACACACGCCTCCTGAACATCCAAAAAATCTATGAGGTTTGCAAGCGGCTTTAGCTCCGTTTTGGGATAAAGTTATCGTATAAGATGTCACACAAGCTCCCAGGAGGTTTGTACTCAGGTTTGAGGTGATGAAAGGCAGACGTGGAGGCAGGATGTAGGCTGGGCCACCTGCTTGCAGCCACCAGCCTTTCTGCCCACCGCCCGCTGAGCAGCAACGGTCTCCTGTCAGTCTCCTGGAGTCTTTCTGGCAGCAAAATGTTGGAATGAATGACAGACAAATGTCCAGCCTAATGAGATTATTGAGAATTCACACAAGGATAGGTCAATTCGCTGCAAGTAGGAGTCGTTTCCGACTTGCTGGACATGGAGTTGTTCTCAAGATAAGGTGGAAACCTTTCTTATTCTGTACGACCATACGAATACATCATCTAGCACAAAACTTTATTCAGGTTCAATTTCTTCTTTAAAGATCTCCTCTGCTCAAAAATGACATCACTGACTTGCTGCCAAGGAGAAGCCAAGCTGGAGCCAAGCCGCAGGACCAGAGGGAGCAGGACTTACCTGGTAGATGTCTGACAGGCTGCTGCTTCCAGAGTCGCTGGTGATACTACATCCTGAGTGGCTGGAGGAGACGTGGGTCACCTGTGGGTGTAAGCCGTCGGCCAGGTGAAGTCTGCTGAAGTCTGCAGGGAGCTGCGCACACACACACACATATATATACAACATACACGCAGGTGGTCAATATCAGTAAACCCAGAAGCTACCGCTGGCCATTCACTAACACATCACATATGTGCACTCGCGCGCATGCACACACACACACATGCACACACGCACACACACACGCACGCACGCGCGCACACACACACAACATGATGTTGCTCTTCAGTTTGTGAGGATATTTGAGTTCAGGTGTGTTAATAAATGTCTTATTTTATCATTCATCACAAATAAAAAGGCAGTGCTTTAATGTGTTTTTATTTTTATTGCAAACTAGTGTCAAACATCCTTCCCCTTTAATTAAAAAGACCTTTATTTGCTTTTCCTTTTACTCTACAGAAGCGGTAACATATCATTAACAGAGCAAAACTATGAATTATTGATTCTACAAGAGCTCAGATTTACACTTTAAAAAAGTGAGAGGCTGGGAAAGAAAGTGTAAAAAAGAAACCAACACTTTCTTCCACTGCATGTAGTTTAAGAATAGAGGTGCGAGCGACATCCTCACTTTTCATCAGTGTCACTTTACGAGATCACCAAACCTGCTATAGTATAAAATCATGTGAATAAATGAGGCACATAAGCGTGACATTCATGTGACATGACAACCGTTACACCATCTGAATGCAAACCCAATAAAACTCAGCTTGTTTTCCTCATTTTCAGTCAGAAATAATAAAAAAAGAGACACAAGCTAGAAGCATTGAATCAAGTACATCACGGAAATTCCCCAATCAAACTACACAACTTGTTTAAACCAAATTAACATTAGGCAGTAATGAGGGGAGGGGGAGCCCTCGATGTGAATCATGCTGCATAAACGCCGGCTGTAATTATGATCCTATAAACCTACTTCTCTATGGAAATGATCCCAAAATGTAAATTACATCAGAACCCCCCTACTGTAGAGTTTTCATCAAAAAAGAGAAATAAAAAAGTAAAAGATGTTCAAAGTGCAACAGCTTTGAGGATTATCTAAGGTCTGAATATGCGGAGCTATTTTTACATGTGCTGCGGTGGAACAGGGTTCCCATTTGTGGATGAGAGGTATGCTTGAGACAAAATAAAAACAAACTGAACGTACTAAATTCTTCCACTTTGTCTTCTAATTGAACTCAACTTCCTTTTTGAACATTATCTCGGACTCCTTAAAGATGAAAGAACATCAGATTACTAGAGATTTAACATACTTTTTGTAGTTTGAGTTTCTTTTTTACGTTATTCGTGGCTGCTGTATTTACGATCTATTAAAAGTTTGTTTTCCACAGACATTGTGAAGCCTTTCTCCTGCTGTCTGTTTTGATATGTGTGTGAGTTAAAGTGACTGTATTTAGCTAGAATGCCACCAGGGTGAAGTTTGAGTTTAATCAAACAGTCTAAACTGTTTCATGGTGTCTATAGTTGTACATATTTTATGACCAAATGTTTAATTCACACACACACACACACACACACACACACACACACACACACATATATATATATATATATATATATATGATACCCAGCAGGGAGAACATTTGCTTTGAGCCACTTTCAGCTCCACTTCTGGCAGCAAAATATCATTAATATTACATATTTAAACCCAAAAGTCAAACTGGGCTGATTTAACCGGTCTCCATCAGGAAATCAGAGACGAATAAACATCTGGAGAAAATAACACTTAGAATGCTATAACTATTTGTAAGGCTTAACAGTATTTCAAATTTATTTTAAACATTTGATTTGAAAGTAAAATCTTTTGACCACAGTTGGGCGACAGGAGGAAAAAGTTTCTTTCCTTCCACGACTATCACTGAGGAATATTTTACTAAAGGAACACTTAATATTCATGACACTGAACCACAATAAAAACTGGAGATTTGGAAAGCTAACTGATTTAAAATTAATTTATTTCTAAGCTGCTGGATGAGAGGAAAAAATAGGTGAAAAAATGAGATGTATCAGTTCACAAAGTGTCTGTGTGTCAGTGCGAAGAGTCAGGCAGAGCTCCTCCGGCACTGAGGTGTGATGCGATTACACAGTGTCAAAGATTTCCATCACGTTTAATTATCTGGCTGGCTGCACTAACCAAAATGGTCGACTGGAGGGCTCAGTCACTCACTAACCCCCCTCAGGCGGCCATTTCCCATCCCCTTGTCTGGTTGACTTCCCTGTGGATGCCTCCAGCAGAATCCCACGTTATTATCACTGACTGGACAATATTGTGTGATGAGTCTTTGGTTGTCTGTCTGTAACTGAGCCAACCACCTCTTCATATTTCCTTATTATGACTCGTGGTGAACATTTTTCACTTTCAGCAAAACTATTGACGCCAGAGCTTAACATTGTGACTATTATTTTATACATTTGCTGTCATTCTTATGGCTTTGAGACATTTGCCCTTCTTTAAAGTTTGTCATTTTTATTGGTTTTATCTGGTGGCAGCGTGTTTTTAAATATACGAATCAAAAACCACTTGGGAGTTGTCTTCTTATAAATAAAATAATTAGTCTGATTAATCAGAGCACGTGTGTATAGTTGATATGGTCTTCCAAACAGACAGACATGAGTGACCTACCAGTCTATATAAATAATAACAATGCTGACATCCTGACTGGCTACAGAATGGGTTGGGGGTGGGAGGGTGGAAAGCAGGATAAAGGGAGAGGATGATAAACACTTAATCCTTTCTCTCCGCTCATTTGGGTCATCTGTCTGTCAGTCAATAAGCTAGGATCCATTCAGTTCATGAGCATGTGGTGGGCAGTTGACCTTTTGGCCCAATGGAATTCAACAGACTGGGTAAAGCTGGACACCAGCAAAGCTCTTGTTAAGCTTTTACAATCAGAGTTCAAAGACAAGGCTAAACATGCACTTTGTTTCATTAACTCTCATTGATGTGCTAAATCTGTTTGTTGACTCCGCCTATTAAATCTGTTAAAGATATAAAACCAGTACACACGGCGACAGGGTGAAGAATATCCAACCCTTCATTCGCCTTTTGGTACTTTTGTGCTCTAAATTCACAATCTGCCTGCATACAAAGAAAGTTGTGCAGAAGCAGGAGCTGAAAATACATAAAATCAGCTGTCATGAGAGGATTAGGTACTGCCCTAATGCTCAAGCCACAACTCTCCGTTCTGCTTACATATGAGCAGATGTGGTGCTCCTTGAATTACATTACAGACCTAATGACCTAGATTGCTTGGTGGAAACACTGGCTGCCCCTCGATTTCTTTACTTCCTGAGTGAATCTGTGCAGCTCTACTCTACACAATCCTTCCTGAGGGTTCCCAGACTCAACCTGACCTCATCAGCAAACCTCAAATAGATTCATAGCTATAGAAACATTTTTCTAATTATTTTGGTTGCATTTTAAGTTAAATTACAGATAACAAATCATCTGGAATCAAAATGCATGTCATATGTTAATATAACCTTAAACACTTGTTGTGAAATGGAAAAACTCCTTCACGTTGGAAGGCTAAGAGAGAGCAGGCACCTCTTCTGACCACGGTAGCAGCTTCTCGCTTTCCTGAGTCTTTTGGATCAAGAGATTAAAATCCCCTTGGCCGGGTGTCTGATTAAATGGGCCTGATATTCTATCAGGGCTTTCCCTTTACCACAAGTCACCATTGTCACAGCAGTAGATTACTTCAATCAAAGATCAAATCTAACACACTTTAATCATCTCTTCCAAAATTCTACTGTGTTTCTAGAATTTTGGGCAGAGCTGCAACTTTAAAAGTGTGTATTCAATATAATTATGTTATATTTACATTTCAGAGAAATGAAAACAGAAATAACCTTAATCGAGTTAGCAAAAAGTCACAAATCTGTAACTGCCAACTACCGTACAGTAAAAATAATAAAAACCATTAAGAGAGTGAAAGCATAAAACGGTGTGATCAAAAGGCTCGTCAATAATCCTAACAAACTACTGACGTCAGTCTGAATGTGTCAGGTTGCGGTAAAATGCTGCTCTAAGGATGGAAATGACAGATTTTAGGATGAAAGATAAGTAAGCTTGGAACTGTCAGAGCTGCCAATACGGAATGGGCTAAAATAATGATGTCATTACTAAAATTTGATATTTTAGCCCATGGGGGAGTTTCCTGCTGGAGTATAATAATGTTTACACAAGCCATCATCATCATCATCATCATTTGTATGCAGAATACAAGTGTAACAGGAAGGAGCAACAAAACAATACATTTTAAAAATATAAAACAACAAAGTTTAAGATGTTATGCTGCCCTCTTGCCTTTTTTTCCACGTTTTCATGATTTCTTGAAGACTTCAATAGAATGTTTTAGACACAGTTCTGTCATGCCATCATTATTTCATAGGGGTTATGTGAAGGCTATTTGTCTTCTTATATTATTTGAAATAGTCGAAGAAGTCTAATCACCAAAGTGAAAAACTGTAAACATTTATGAACTGGTTAGGTCAACTGGCTGAGGGTTATAGTCAGGCCAACACATAAAAAAGCAAACTTGCTCTCTATGAAGGAAAAAAAAACTATTTTTTGCTAAACTATTAGCATAACTATTTCAAGGCAATTAGGATATTTTTAAACACAAAATATCTCAATTTGCGTATGAATCATTATTTTAGCAGCATATCTAAAAATAGGCGAAACTTCCACTAAAACTCCCACTAAGCTTTGACATGGTGTGGACTGTCAGAGGCCTTATTCTCCTGCAGGCCTCCCTCAGGGAAGCAGAACAAACTGTGAGAAAATAGGATGAAATAACTCATCAGCACTGACACATCCACGGTTGTTACAAGAATATTAAGGTGATTTTTCGCTCAGCCTCTATGCTCACTAACCCAGGAAACGTCCATCACTGAGATGCAAGCCCTGACTTTGTGCATGTGTGTGTGTGTGTGGTCTTGGTGTGTGTGAGTGATGCCAAGAGCACAGACAGCCGATCAATTCGTTTACTGTTCAAGTACAGAGCATTTCAGGCCTCTGAGTGTCAGCACCATGGACAGCGCCACCAGCAACAAACCAGTTGGGTTCAGCAGCTGATTAAAGATCAAATAATTAGGAAAAAAAAAACATTAAATGTCACTACATATATTTTAGTGCAGTCCTCAAATTGCTAATTGAGCCCTTTCTGATTAAAACCATGCAGCATGACCATTTTATTTCAATAGGGTGCTATAACGTGTTAATGAAAACACAGTACAGCATTTTGTTAATGTTTACGCGCGCGCGTGTCAGTGACAGCGAGCACATGGCGGCCGTTTCTAGTGCAACACACTGACACACATCTGCGGCTCGACAGGGCGATAATCAGCCTCTGATCTGCCCATCCGTGTCCAGCTTTCATTCATGCTGCAGAGGCTCGATATAAATCTGATGCCCGTCCATTATAGAGCCGGTAATCATATATACAGGCCAAGAATTAGGAGGGGAGTAAAATAAGATGGAGAGAAGGTTGCACGTCGATAGGCTACTTACCGGGGTTTTATCTTGCTGGCTCGGGACTCCATTGCTGTCTGATGCTGCTAATGGTTTCATAATGAAGAAATGTTGACCGGACTAACATCTATCATCCCGGAGCTGGTCTAAATCCCAGCGTAGACCCCCATCTTCTGCGAGCTGCCCTCTCCCCTCCCTCAGCTGCGCCGTCTCCCCAGAAGGAGGCGGCGGCTCGACAGTTTGGGGAGTATCCGCTGTTCCTCGAGCCTGATCTGACTCTCCAAAACAGCGACACCAACGTTTATTCCAGTCGAGCTACAGATATCACACCCGCAGAGGAAGGAGAAAAAAAAAAGAAATCCGTTTATCCCAGTAAGAACAGTCGACTTCCCTTCGCTCTTCACATCTCCTGTCGGAGAGCAGCGGCGCGCCGATTAGGGAGCAGAAAACCGGAAAAAAAAAAGATGAGAAAATGGCTGACAACACTTTCACGTTTTTTCCCTCCGCCTTTTCTCTCTACCTCCTCTCCTCCCTCCCTCTAACGAACGTGAAGCAGCAGCACACACGCACGCACACGCCTTTGTGCACCATTAGATTATCTCAGGTCTGAAACGCCCGCAGCCTGCGCGGAGGTACTGTCAGTTAGCGCCAGCGGTTTGTTTGGAGCGAGGTGTGTATATGTGTCAGAGGTGGAGGAGGGGTGGAGGGCCCCCCTCCCTGCATGACGGTGATGCTGTGGCTGTGCATCAAGCAGAATAGTTAGAAGAAGAATGATGGATGGGAGAAAATGAGAATGGAATAAAATGAGAATTAGACATACACACAAGAACCATGAAAAATCTAGAGGAGACAGACTGATGAAGAGGGCTGAAGAAATTAAATGAGAAGCCATTATCACACTCATTCTGGCACAAGACAGCAGCTGGAACTGGTTGGCATAGTAACAGATTGCAGGAAAACCATTTCCTGGGCAGGGATGTTGTAGCACTTCCTCTTGGAGGAAAACGAGTAAAATGTTGATGGGTAAAAAAAAGGAGCTGTGGGGCTTTTTCAGGAAATTAAAAAGGTGGACGAGCTGGAACGCAGAGGAAGAGGAAACAGCAGTCTTGCTGCAGAGACTGGCAGCAACATTGTCACACTGTTACTCGGCTGTGATAACCATGGCAACTGGGTGAGCACAAGCCCCACACACCCACCCAGCCAGCCCCCTACACACCCTCCAGGGCCTTCAGTTGCTGTGGCGACGGAGGCAGCGAGACATGCCGAAATGGAGGAGGGAGGGGAGGAGAGCAGCATGAAACCGACAGGAGAAAGTGGCAATAGGCTGTGACACTTCACCTTCCCTCAGCTGGATGTGCAGCAGCATCACTGGGAAAGCTTCAAGCAACAAATGGAACTATTTAAATTCTCAGATCTGTCATATTAAGGGACAATCGTGTTTGTTTATGTAGCTTATGTCTTTACTGGAAGTTATATGGTCCAGCATAACAACTAACTTTAAAGCAGTTGTATTTTATATAACAGAAGAAGCAAAACATGGTTCACAAACAATTAAAGGATAGACTGGCTGACAGAATGTAAACCTTATCTCCAAGAAAACCTCAAACTGGAGATGTGACAATAAATATTTTATTCATTTTGCTTATAATTATGTTGTCATGCATCTGAGACATTGTTGCCAGCCTCAATCTTGAGTTTTTCATCTTGCTACATAATCAGTTATTCTCATGCCATTTTTGCTGTTTTGGAAACAGTTTTGTCATTTTGCAATATCTGAAACATTTCAGAACATAAAATGCTTCAAACACAACTTCCTATACAGTTTTATTTTATTTCCTCAAACAAAACATGTGTGTGTGTGTGTGTGTGTGTGTGTGTGTGTGTGTGTGTGTGTGTGTGTGTGTGTGTGTGTTGCAAACTGTATTTGCAAACTGGAAGCTGTGATGGGAAATTTTCAGTATCCTAAGTCCGTTGGAGGATTGTGCACTTAACTGAAAAACAGGGAAATCAGTTGTAGTAATCCCAGACAGCAGCAGTTCATTAAGGATTCATGTGGTGATTTTCTAGCTTAATACTAAATTACCAAATCTTAATTGTGTGGGGAAAACATGCCAACAACCCCATAAACAGATCATCAAATGTGATATCTGTGCTGTGCCTAAAAATAACCAACACCTGTATTAAAAATAAGATCCACAAAAAGACAATTCATTTGACACATTTATTAAGAATGGAGACAACTGACGCCCAGACCTTTGAATAAAAAAATTCTCTGCTTCACACTGTGTCTCGAAAGCAGCGTAGTACGAGCTGGTTTTGATGCTGATCCAGCCAAAGCGTGTGTGTGTGTGTGTGTGTGTGTGTGTGTGTGTGTGTGTGTGTGTGTGTGTGAGTGAGAGAGAGAGTGGGTTGGGGGTGGGGGGAGAAGCCTGGAGACCCTGGATGACATCACCTCTCTTGCCCCAAACCATGATGTAATGTTTCAAAACAACAAAAAAGCTCAGGTGCAGTCAAGTCATTAATGTCTCCAACAATTGCCTCAAGGGGGATGAGGACGGGGGCATCATTACATCACTGTGGCAACGAGACTGTGCCTGGGGAATTGCCAAACCTTCTGCCCAACCCCCCTTATTTGCAGCTCTCTAGTATTAACTGAGCATACTTATTTATTTTTTCTACTAATAGGAAGCTAAATGTGAAGGAAAACACACAGGAGACCAATGATCTTTACAGAATCTGACAGTGAATCTGAGAATAATACAAACATTCATGTTCAGTGGTAGTGTGTGCCAAATGCAGGAGATGGTGTGAGGAGCGGCCTTGTGTGTCATTCGTAAACAGACTGCAAACTCGGCGTGATCAACTCGGCCACGCATGCTGTTTTGCTTGCTGATGCAAAGCATTGGAGCTGTAAAAACCTAATTACACTTGTAGGGAGAAACAGCCGTGCAGAAACATGTGACACATGGATGTGGTTCAGGCTTCATTGCAAAGAAAACAGAACGTTTCTAATAAAATACCAAAAGAGGCACGCTTCTGTTTTAAATGTAGATTACAAAATATTTGTTTATTTGATTTTTTACTAGAAAGGGGCTTTTTGTATCAAAAAGATACAACAATTAACATTAAAAGGGCATGGTTAATGATAGGGATGTAAGAAAATGTCGATTATAGCAATATATCGTGATATTTTTCCCAGCGATATTATATCGATATTCTAAAGCTCTGTATCAAAAATATCGATATCGCAATATATCGTGATATTTTTTCTTGCAAAAATTTATCGATATTCAAAAGTCGTGTATCTAATTATTGGAAGAATTTCCCTGGGGAACATTTGTGTATTTTCTTTTCTTGTGGTGCAATTCAAAAGCCGACCACTAGTTGGCAGCAGTGTGTAATGGGTTTTGTTTCTACCACTGAAATGTAAATCCCTCTGTTATGGTTAAACATGTTAAGTATCAAATTGGACTGTTTATTGAATTTTCCTATAATAAATTTAGTCTAAAAAAATCGCCAATATCGTCTGACTGAATGTATCGTAATATATTGTATCGTCTCCCCTGTATCGTAATACGTATTGTATCGGCAGAATTTCACCAATGCACATCCCTAGTTAATGATATAACAATAGACGTCTAATTTAAGTCCAGAAGTGGGGAAGCTGTAAATGTACACTTTTAAGAACAAGTTCAATGTTGCAGATTTTTTGTTTTGCTTTCAAACAAGTAGGCAGGCAATCCATGGGTGACTATAACACCTTAAAAATGAGTCAGCAAAAATAACACTTCTTTAATCCCACAGATAACATACAAAAACCACATCATGGATGGGTAACGGTGTTGGGGTGTGTGGTTCAATCAAATTGGCCTTCTGATGGACACTCAGCAGCCATTAGATGATCAAACTTGCATACTTTGATTTATTAATCGGTGTCTAACGTTGTTCGGTGAATTTGATGTAAGCCAACAGAAGGCCACGTGCAAAAAGAACATTAATCAATGACATCGGTCCCATTACAATGGCTCTAAATAGCATTGTGCAAGCAAGGAAGATGATCTAATAAAGAGACTCCATTTTCATAGCTGCTGCAGCCTGCAGGATTACTTCATTTTTCAAGCTGTTGTCACTTGCACACTGCACTGGAAAAAATTTGATAGAAACGCAGGCTGCCAGGCACGCCTAAAAGATTACACGTGTAGGTTCGTGGAACAAAGCATTTGTTGTACAGCTACACCTGCTAAAGTCTGCATAAATGAAAAGGTGGAATGAAGTGAGATGCTTTCAGAGTTTTATTAGCAGAAGTTTGCCACGGAGAGAAAAGTTAATCAGTTACCCAACATTTCCAGATCGAGTTATAGGCTAACTGGAAGGTTATGAACTAGAAGTCTTTAGCTCTTTAATAAACACGGGAGGTGGCATGAACATGACAGTCAGCTGCACTCAGGCATGCTTCATGTTTCTAATCTTTAACCTAAAAGATAAAATCCATGAAGCAACATGGAACTAAAAGTAAAAGAATTATGACTAGAAAACAGAAACGTCTTGAAAGATATTAGCTTCCACACTTCTCCTTTACAAAACTAAAGTATGAATTCAGTTCAGTTTATCACGTTAGCGTTATTGTTAAACATATAAAAAGATTTAAAAGAAAAAACTGGAAAAGTGAAAATGTGAACCCAATATTTGTTCTCGTGCTAAATAAAACACAAAAGTTATTAGGATGTGTTTAAATAAAAGCAAGTTCTACGAGTAAAAATGAATTCCTTGTGAGTCGATCTCTGTGAGAAAAAAGCTCTGGCACTCCAGTTTCAGGAAGTAGAAGTGAGTCAGAGGAGAGATGAGCTGAACAAAGCAGTATTTGGAGTCCTATTTTAGTAAGTAAGTTTTATTTATACAGCACTTATCACAGACAGAGTCACAGAGTGCTTCACATAGATCAAAACAAAATAAAATCATAATGATCTTAAAACAGAAATAGATTAATATCAGAGAAAATAAAGTCATAAAATTATAAAATTTCATAAACAGTTGAAAGATAAAAAATTTGAGTTAAAAATAAGAAAATAAAAGGTTTAGCTAAAAGCAGCTTTAAATAAAAGGGTCTTTAGCTGATTTTTAAGTGTCCAGACTGTCAAAGCTACGTAAGGATAAAGGAAGATCATTCCAAAGTTGGCGTGCAACGTCTGGAAGGAGCGATCACCTCGACTTTTATATCTGGTCTTTGGAACTTCTAGAAGGTTCTGGTGGGTGGACCTGAGGGCTGGGTTGGAGAATAAGGCTTTAACAGTTTAGTAATATAGGGAGGAGCTTGACCATGGAGAGCATTGAAAGTTATAGTCAGGATTCTAAAATGAACTCTAAAGTTAACGGGTAACCAGTGCAGAGACATTAGAATAGGTGTGATGTGTGCTCTTCTATTTGCTCCAGTTAGGAGGCTCGCTGCAGAGCTCTGGACCAACTGAAGGCGGTCAGGGGCTTTTTTGTTAAAGCGTGTGAAAAGTGTGTTACAGTAATCCAAACTGGAGGAGATAAAGGCATGGATAACTATTTCAAGTTCATGCTTTGACACCAACCTTCACAGTTTGGAGATATTTCTTAAGTGAAAAAGTTTCTGGCATTTTGCCTCTGACTGGCCAACAGCAACACAACTCTACTACTGCCTCTGTTTTCTTTGCAACATTGATGTTTTATCACCACAAATAACACGAGCCTGATGGAGTTATGCCATGTTGTGAACTTGATAATGCTAACAGCTAGCTTCTACTAGCTGAGATGTGCTATAATTCTCCTCCTCTCATGGAATCACGGTGAGTCCGTGAAGGCTAATTTTCAATGTGATGTAGGTCTGACTGGCTTTTTTAATCCAAACATTTCTCTGTCCATTATCTGTTGGCACCTAATGCAGAAAAAATGGGCAGAAGACTATTTTTAAGTTCAGCTTTCCTGGTTAACGCAGAGTGACCAATTCGACTTTAAAAATAAGCAAGAAACAACTTCTCTGTGAATCAAGTCTCCAACTCATTCACTGCCATTGACGACTAAAGTCATGTGAAGTTAGGTCTCTGACTAAAGTCGTTATTTGCATTATTTTGTTTTTTACTGTGTGGGCGTCGGAATGAGCCTCCTCACCGTGAGAACAAATATCCCAGCTCTAAAGCCGTTCTTCATCCACGTACATCAAACATCAGTTGAACAGGAAGCAGAAAATCCATGTGTTAGGAGATTGTTTTGGGCCACTGCTGTAAACAAAGTGAGGCGCAAACCGGAAAAGTTTCTGCCAATCACAATTGGACAACGGATTATGAAAGAACGGACAATGCTCGAAATGCGGATTCTTCCTGATGTAAGAGGTGAGTCTACTCTTTGTTTTAGTAGTTTTGGCGTTGACATCATCCTGGCGCGAAACGTTCTACACTGGCAAAGAAGGGCTTTTCTGATCAGCAAACGGCTGGCAGTTAATGAGTTAAAATAACATTATGAGGAACATAAAAAAACTCAGCTCATGTAAACCCTGTTTAATCTTTATCATCACCTAAGAAGTTTTATAAAATACAGTTTTAACTGAACTCAGCATGAAACAGATTAATTCTGCAATTATTTATTCAAAAAAATGTTTTTATTTTATTAAGACAAATCACAGACCAGAGGACAGTGTGAATGTCAACACGCAGGCTCATTATCATCCACATAAATGTCATTTGTCAAGTCTTTTGAAAATAACAGGAAGGACTTTGAATGTTAAAAGTGACATGAAAAGCATATGAAATGCCAGTAATCATGCTCTATAAACTAGTTAGCAAGTATCTTGTTGTTTTCACTCCCACCAGCCACCATTTCTGATGGATTATAGAGCGTGAACGGTCTCCAAAAATATCTGCTCCATTTTCTTCAAAACGTTTGATATCCAGCTATTAATATCTACAAACACGCGTGTTGCTTTTGTTGTCCCAGACGAGAATGAAGGCTGTGAGTGTTCAATACAAGGACACATAAAGACTTTACATAAAGTGTTAAAAAAGCATAGTCACGCTGTATCTGTATAAAAGAAAGACACTTTCTACCAGCAATGACAATAACTGATAATAAATACCCTGATAATAAACTTCCCTTGATTTAAAAATACTGTCAAAGTTGAAAAGGTTTAACTTTTCTATTGGGTAATTTTAGTTAATTGTATTTTAAATGAAAATAAAATTGCCACTTTTTCTAAAAGGAGACATGTTTTATGAGCTGAAAGCTGTTTAGCTTGTCTGAGTCAAAACAGTCAAAAATAAAACGACAGTGTACAACAAACTGCTGCTGTAGCTCCTACACAACATCTATTCAGAACGGAGGCTTTTGTAACTCGGCACAGTGAAGCAGAGCAGGTTGTCACAAAGGACAGCTCTAAAAATAGGAGCAGAGCTTTCCTGCAGCCCAAAGTGGCAGGTTTATTCTCTCTGCATTTATCAGCAGGTACGACCGCTCAGCCCTATGAGCTCCTTTCAACCTCATCATCCCTCCTTTCTGCTCTGCTACTGCAAACAAATGACAAGAAAATATTAATTATGCTCCTGATTCATTGGTTACGCTGCTCCTTTTATAACTACAGTTCATGCAGGGAGCTGCAGTTCTTTGCACAGCAGTTTTAGTTTCTAAATCCATCATTACTACGAGACAGATTTTTTGGATGTCGCCACTGAACAAGAGCATCGGCAACCACAGCGGGGATGATAATAATAATCCAAAGAGCCTAAAGACAATCATTATCATTATCAAGGACATAAATGGAGTAAAACAGTGCACCTCAATCACCCAAATTGTTGCCGTTATCTTAGTTTATCACCCTATAAGCTATAACCGAGTGACGCTCTGTCATTGCCGATGATGTGATGAGTTTTAGCTCTCCACCAAAACATGATTAGTTTTCAAATCAAATGCAGGATAAAGTGGTTGGAAGCAATGGAATGGCACCATTTTATCGGTACTGTTAGTAAGAATTCAAATCACATAGTCGCTGATGTTGTGTTAATAGATATGGAGAGTGGAGTGGGCTTTCCTCTTCATCATCAGCACACATGCCCAAAAATGAAAGGTGCTTATAGAAAGTCTGCTAGCAGCTACAGATAGGACCAATAGGGAAGAGACACAGATAAAACTACCTACCAGCATGAGCACAAACACAGGTGGCAAACACAAAGAGCAGGAGATGCACAACAAACACACCAGCGTTAATAGATACAGTACCTGAGGTTTATTGCATTCCTGGAAGCCAGGTTAGTGAGCGAGCCATGAAAAGAAGCAGAGAAGATGAGAGTTATCAAACATGCCACCTGCCCATCGAGGATGTGAGATATTGCAGGTGAAAGCTTCACCGACATGCTAAAATGAGGTTCCTGTACCACACTATGATAAAACACACAGGTAGGCACACATGCGCGCACACACTCTGCCAACATTATTCTATACAGCAAACCTGCAGGTTATGAAACAAATAACTTGAAGCTCAGGGAATATTTTCAATCTCTAAGACAATAAGAGTCAGGAGTTTATCAAACAATCTTTCCTAAATGAACTGAAACCTTTAGAAGGGTCCACTCTAACACTGAAGCAAGCAGCAAATGGTATCGTTAAATGAAATACCATGCTTTAAAGTTAAAGTTAAAGTCCCATTAGTTGTCACACACACTGATGTGAGTGCAAAATTTGTTCTCCGCATTTGACCCATCCCCTGGGGGAGCGGTGAGCTGCAGACACAGCCGCGCTCGGGAACCATTTGGTGGTTTAACCCCCCAATCCAACCCCTTAATGCTGAGTGTCAAGCAGGGAGGCATTGGGTCCCATTTTTCAAAGTCTTTGGTATGACCCGACCAGGAATCGAACCCTGATCTCCCAGTCTCAGGGCGGACACTCTACCACTAGGCCACTGAGCTGGTCTAACCATGGAGTTTTGTCTCATCTCCTTTTCTTATATCTATATTAAAATATCTAACTACATTTGAAAAAATTTAATGAAGCCAGTGATGAGATCTGAATGAGCTGAAGCAGGATTTCCCATCGATCAGTGGCACAATCACCCTCTCAACACACAGATAGTCAATTATGAATTTTACGCATTTGTGTGAATTGTAGGATTCATTAAAGGGGAACAAAAATCTACAAGTACATATATGGGTTGATAGTTAACATCATAGGTTGTATTTGCTGTGCAAGCATCATGGGAACAAACCACAAGACAATTCAGGAAAGAACAGACCGTTTTCACTTTGTATCAGAGTTTGACGAGGCGGGTACATGCTATGACAGAAATATATGATGCTGCAGACAGCACGATGCTTGGTATGAACACAGGCAACAAGAATCAAACCTGATCTATATTATGTTGTTTTGTTAAAGGAATGTTTAACGGTTCAACACATTAACTAGTGACCTTCAGATGTACTGGTAGTTGGATTTATTTGAACAGAATGGGTTTTTTTAGTCTTGTTTCAGTGTTTATGCACTGCTAAGCTAACCAGCAGCTGTCAAAGAAGCAAAACCCAACTATTAAAATAAATAAGAAAACTGAAGGAGTGAAAAATCCAATTAAGTTTCAGCTTTGTGGAAGGAATTACATTTCATGCTGAAAATCTGACAGAAAATCAATGGCTCTTACAGCCTGTCTGACAGGTGCATTAGCAGACAGGGAGGATGATGGTTACGTTACGTGAAATTGTGCTGCACAGGAAATGCCATCCTCCTTTGTGACATCAAGTTTTCTCTGTTAAAGCCCTTTCTCCATTAAACTCTGCTAGCATTTCACTGTTGGCGAAAAAGTGCAAGTTTTGCGAGTTGCTGGGTCAGCAAGTTGTATCGTTAGAATAATGGACCTGTTCCAAAAATTGAGGGAACCCTTCTCTATTTGGTTTCAGTGATTCAGAAAATGCAAGAAATGTGAGACACATTTGGGAGGGGTTGATGACCATGCTTTCTCACATTTCTGTCTCTAACTAGTCACAAACAGTTGAGTGAGATTCTGACTTTAAGCACAACAAACGTCCATTTGCCTTCAAAACCAAACAGAAAGCTATTTTTGGGTGAAAACCATTAAAATGTCAGGTAATTTTCAGGAATTTACTGTTGTCAAACATTCAACTCACAAAATGCACTTTCCTTTCAACTTAAGTGCTTTGTAACTTTAAGAAAATATGAAATGTAACATGATGTTAGAGAATGAAGGAAAAGCTATTGAGTGAAACATTCTTGTCTGCTATAATTTTCCTTTGAAATCCAAATTAAATAAAAAAGAAAGGTTCTATAAAATGTCCCTGTGACGTCTGCTCTGAAGACGAATACAGGATACAACAGATGTGTACTGTAAGTGTTTCTCTTTCTCCTCTGCTGCTTGTATACCACATCTGTTTAGGACTAGATGTTTGTACTACAAGGCAAACCTAGAGGATGAACACTGCTCTCACACAGACAGCTTGGGATGTCTCACAAGGACTAGGAAAGAGTTTAAATGTAAACAAAAACAGAAACAGTAAAAAATAAATATATAAATAAATAAATAAAATAAACCCTTAGAGAATTATGTTTTTAAATTAGGAATGGATAGGATCATCCATGAAGCATTTGGTAAAGAAAAATCCTATTCAGCCTCTATGTTGGCAGGCTGAGTGACAGACGGAGCACAAAGACACAAAGCACAAAGTGAGTGGCAGAGAGAGAGAGAGAGAGAGAGAGAGAGAGAGAGAGAGAGAGAGAGAGAGAGAGAGAGCAAGAGAGAGAGAGAGAGAGAGAGAGAGAGATCAGACAGAAGTGTGTGTTTGTGTATCTGAGAGAGGGAGTCAGGTCGACAGCTCTAACGGCTGATAACATTAGAGGAAAAGATGGTGCTTGCAAGATAAGGTGCAAAATGGCAAGTGACTAAGAAATGGAGATTAGGAGCCTTTGCAAGGGAGAATATAAAAAGATTTTGTGTGTGTGTGTGTGTGTGTGTGTGTGTGTGTCCAGTCTGAACAAAACACAAGTGTCAACTCACTGCGCTGAGCACATAAGAGGCATGTGTTGAATCCTAAACACTGTCCTCTTTCACTGCCCTAAAATATCCATGTAAACCTAGGGTGTGTGTATTGACAAGAACACAGTGATATGATACATATCACAACACAGGGGAGACAACACGATATATTGTCATACTAAAAGACAGACAATGGTTCTAATTTCTTAAATTGAATTTATTTGGAAAACTCAGGCCAGATGCTTCGAAGACACATCTGGAGTTATCTCAGGATCTTGTAGTTCCATCAAAATGAAGGCAGTACAAACTGCTGCCACCTAGCAGTGGGAGTTTGAATTACACCACACAAGAGAAATATGGTTAATGTTTGCATGTAAATTTTCAATAAAATTTGCTATAATGCTTTTAAATATTGACATTTTCTTCCATTAGCCTTTACCAACAAAACAAGGAATAATCTAATGGTTTATAGCTTTCAATTTATTATTTTTTTAATTCATTTACCATTGTCAGACATTTTAGATAAGCACAATTATCTTTGTGGCTTAATTTTGTTTCTCCATACTGATTTACAGAAACAGCTGAAATTTCGCCTTTACGTATGAGATCATTTAAAAACAAGGAAAAGTTTTGATCTTAAGTTTAAAGAGGTCCTTTACCGAGAAACATTTTTTTACCCGTTATTTTTTAAAATGATTGGTAACATGTAGGCTCAATGTGAAAATTGTGTACATGTTTCCTGCATTAGCTTCAGATAAAAAAAAGACAGTCAAACTATAAGATTTGAAAATCCTGACAGATCTACATCACACTGTCACTTAATGTTAATGGACTCACCCATCTTGACTCATAACAGGTTGCTATTAGTTTAGCATCCAGGAAACAGTGGAAAACAACAAATAAAACCATTTAGCAGCCATTATCTAACCATTAACAACTCCCCCACAAACACACAGCAGAACTCCTTCAGATTTGCGTTATTTGTGGAAATAAAACATCAACGTTGCAGCGCAAACATAATCAGTGGGAGAGTCACATTGTTGTTAGCCAATAAGAGGGGATATGCCCCAATATCGGAAAATAAGACTCAAAATTCTGCAATCGGAAGCTACGTTCTCCTACGGCTGAATTTTCCATGCCGAAACAGCTGCATCAGTGTTTTTTATTTCCCCTCATATTTAGACTACTGCAACTCTCTTTTCACGTGTCTGAGCAGAACCTCCCTGAACCGTCTACAGGTGGTTCAGAATGCCTGTGCTCGACTTCTGACCAAGTCCTCCAAACACACCCACATCACCCCGCTTCTCCTCCAGCTTCATTGGCTGCCAGTTAACTTCAGGGTTCATTTCAAGATCCTGGTTCTGGTCTTTAAGGCCTTACATGGACAAGCACCATCATTCACTGGTGATCTTCTCAGTCCCTACACCCCCAGCAGGCCCCTGAGGTCCAGTGATCAAAGCCTACTGGTTGTGCAGCGCACCAGGCTAAAGACCAAAGGTGACAGATCATTTGCTGCTGTGGCCCCCAGACTCTGGACTTCTCTCCCCCTGTGCCTGAGATCAGTGGACTCAGTGGTCTCCTTTAAAAAGCAGCTGAAACCTCACCTGTTCAAGCTGGCTTTGGTGTGACCTTCATCACCACCCTCTCCTAATTCTGCTCTTTCTACCTATTCCGCCTTTCCCGGGATCCACTGACTACCTCTTTCTCATTAATTTTCTCTTTCCCCTTCCTTAAATATTTTTTAAATCACAATTTTTAATTTTTCTAATTTTGATGATCTTTTAAATATGTTTTTAAAAGTCTTTTAATTTATTTTTTTCTTTGCTCTTGTGAAGTGCCTTGTGATTTTTATTTTGAGAGGCGTAATATAAAATATTGTTTTCCTCCCTCCCTCCCTCCCTCCCTCCCTCCCTCCCTTCCTTCCATCCTTCCTTTGAGTATGATTTACAAGGCACTGTTAGTATTAGAGACCACTGCAAATGTATTAAAATATTAGTGAA